CGGGGGGAAAGAGGACGGGAAAAATCTGAGTGCGGCGGAAAACTCTGTGGCATTCAATATAGACGAGGCACACAAAACAACTTGACGAGCTGTCAAAATCTGTGCGGCCTGTCAAACGAATTTCAATATAAAATATCAACATAGGAATTGACGAGGCGAAAGCGGGATTGCCATTCATTCATTAGAATTTTGCCTCTTTAGAATTTTGCCCCTTTGGCAGTGTTTTATTCAGTTATTCAATTACAAACCCGTGACCAAGACACTTGCATCGATCCAAGATGTGAAGGAAAAACAAAACTGTGGAGAACAAAAACTGCTCCGGCAGATAATTACACTGAGATAAGTTTTTTAGAAATTTCCATATATTTACTTTTTAGTCGTGAACTGCTTAAGTCCTACTTCTCTATGTGTGCATACGTGTCTGGTATCTCTGCAAATATTATTTCATTCATTCAAATGTTTCGTATAAGCAGGGGCTATTTTGATTGCATGTGTTACCTTCATAAAGTAGTACATCCCAGCGTTCAAAATGAAATTAGTCAAATAGTTAAGTCTCCAGATTTTTTCTCTCTGTGTGGCCAGCTGCGAACAGTGGCAGTTTCAATGCCAAATTGTATAAGCAGCTGCAGTGGCTCAGCCAAGCGGCAAATGTCCTGCGGTGACAAAAGCAAAGCACCACCCCACATTCAGTTGCTTTAAGATCCTGTCGAAAAAGGTGATGCAACCGTGACCTCCGACCTCCCGTTTTAGTCGCCAGTCGCCCTGGAAAATACCTCGAATTTAAGATGAACGTATAGCTGCTGTTCAAACACTTGCCAAAATTTCGATTGGAAAATCCTTTGTTGCAATCTAATTGGCCCGGATAGTGTTAATAAATTCTATGCTGCAAGATAGGTAGTTTGGATTGACCGTTCTTCCAATTAGAACAGCCTTTATGGCACCTTAAATGAAATAATACATGTTGGTAATATTAATTTTGTCTACATAAAAATATAATAAATTCATGTGTCAAGTGAATGTATTTAACACTTGTCTTTTTTCAAAAAATAACAATTAAAGTTTTTGAATGGGTTTACAATGAACTTATAACCTTTTAAACTCTCTATTAAATCATGATTTTCTTTGATTACGTAACAGTTAAAGGTGATAAATTGCTTAGCATCATTAACGTACCTAATTAAAACTAATTAAATAAGTTTTACACTCCTTAAACGCACTGTACTTACTATGGCAACTGTGGGCTAAGAAAAACCCGCAGTGAAAAGTCTTCTGGCTTGTCAAATAGCGCGAAATATTTTTCAATTAGCGCCGCCAGCCGCCTAACCAAAACCAGCATTTTCCCACCATTTCCCACACCCCACCAAACCCCACAGTTTTCCGCCCACATTTCACCACTTTTCCTCTGGCCCTTTTGTTAGCGAGCGAGCATTGGCCCAGTCTATGCATTTCGTCTCTATGAATGGGAGCTCTTGAGATTCATTTTCTTTCACTTTTCCCCATAATTATGGCAAAGAAATGTACGAAAAACACACGCCCCAACGCCTGCAGATGGATTTCCGGGGCTCTCAGATTTTGACGGCCTACGAGAGAAAGAAAAACACCAAGTCCGGAAAAACTTCGACTGCACTTTGGGCGATGAAAATGTTAAAACAATCGATCGGCAAACGGGACAGGCCCATTATTTAGGGCTCAATCAACCCAATTTTCAAGTCGAGCGCTGTCAGTTAAAATTACTTTTTAATGTTGTTGATTGCACTTTTAAAGCTCCATCGAAAACGTATAACGAATTTAAATCCACATAAATCCTTGATTGTTGCTGCCTATCCAATGGCATTGACAACTTATTTGGAGCAGTATCGCACTGCGTGTTAAATAATTGAATTGCCGACTGTTCAATAAGAAAGTTGATTAATTATTGAAATGAACCAGCATATCGAGCACGAAGTTGTAAACAAACGAATTCAACTCGATCAATTAACTGGACTGAATTTGGATTGTTTAAGAAATAATAAATATGCCAAGGGCATGAATATGAAAATGAATTTATGCGATGCATCGCGATGAAGGGAAATATTCAATTAAAAACAATTATTTGATTGCTTGCGATTTCAAACTTTAGTATGTTTTAAGCTAATATTTGTTTGCTTTTATCCCAAATCTATTTCTTGGGCTAAGTATTTTTTTAAATACATGTATTACTATTGTCTAAAATGTAAAATTAAATATGCTTCTAATGGTATGTCCTATGTTTAAAAATATTCCTGAATTCACTAAAACATTAAATTTAGCACCCACTATTTGAATAAAATACAATTTATATGACTCTTGATTTAATGTAAGGTCTTTCGAGTGCAGTCCCCTTTTGTGGGGCTAACTTTAAAGTACACAAGTATTTAATCTAGTCCCCAGAGCAGGCAACCAACCTCTTAACCCCTTGGCACCGCACTTTAACCCGCTGCAACTGCTGCCAAGTGACCCAAATCAGGGTCTGCCGTCTGCGGTGCTCGTCTGCTCGGAAATTAGAAACTGAGGGACAGGATCCAGCTTCCAGTTGGCTATCCAATCCCAATCCTTTGCTCCTCGCGCGACTTTCGAGATGGCTTTTGAGTGGCTTTTGCGCTTAGTTGGCTTAATTACGAACGCGCCGAGAATCAGGCCGCTGCAGCGATAAGTATCGATTAGTATCGCTAAAGTGAGTACTCTCCATGGCCGTTCCAAGTCAGCATCGTAATCAAGGTCCCCCTGAGAAATAAGTTCGAATAAATTACTAAATAGTTAAATAGTTAGTATCTAAAAAGTATAATTTCTATTCTTCTTTGCAATGTCGGATGCTGTAAATATCATGAGGGGTTTGCAATCACCTATAAGGTTCCCATGAGAAAGAATTTCGAAATAATTAGTAAATAGTTAAATAGTTTCTAAATTTCAATTATTTTATTTAGTGCTGTAAATATCCAGTAGTATTGGATTTCTTAACGATCTTTCCATGTTGTAAAAAAAACACATAAGTCAATCAACAATATATAAAAGTTATACTTCTGTAGGAATTTAATGGAATATTTTTCCCTACACACTTAATTTAAATTTATTCAAATAAAATAGACTTAGTAATGAGTAGTAACTTAATTTTCAAGTGCTACAAGTATTTGTTTACTTATAAATTAATACACTAATCGCTATGAATTAGAAAATTATGAATTCTGCATTTAAAAACTTAATACTTATGTTTAATTATTTCGGTTGTTCTGATGATTATTATTTATTGCAATATTGAAATATTCATATTTTAGTTACTTTTCTCTCGGTGCAGCATGTCTGGTCCTGGTTCTTATGGTCTTATGCAACCCAAATATGGAGCTGGATATGGCCGGAGAAATGCCCCTCGGGAATAGAGAATGTGCCCCATATTATGTGATGCATGCATATGCGAGCAGCGACTTCTCTGGCCAAATTGAAATTCTCATGGAATTATATAAAATGCACTCAAAGGCATTTTCGGGGCAGCTTAGCAACATCAACAACTTCTGGGCACTTTGGGGCGACCGTCCTTACGACGTACGAAAAACGCCGGATTTTCGGGCATAAACAAAAAAACAAAGCAAAAAGCAAATCAGCACCCCATTCTGTTTAACGTTGGGTTGCTAAAGCTGTCACAATGAAACCCAGACTTGAGGAAATCATAATTTATTATGTCATTAGTAATTTACATTTCGTTCAGCCTTGGCGACAAATGGCACATTAGACATAACGTAATTCCACCATTAAAATTGTTATATTTTTTTATTTTTTGGGAAGAAACCCTGCTCTTCATAAAATGACAGACAAGGATTGCTTTTTAAGAGGATTTTCAGCACTGACTTGCATTAAAAGTCTGTGAATCATGTTGAAAATATTTTAAAAAGTAATAAATATATATATATATATATATATATATATATATATATATATATATATATCGGCAGTTTGCAATGCTTTTCAATGGACCTTCAGTCTTTAAATAACGATTTTCTCATAATAAATCATGCATTTAAGAGTCCAATTTTTATTTAGTTGCTTGGACCGGCATTATTTTTTTCCAAAAGAACTGAGTTGTGTGATGTGCTGCCTTGAATTGAGAAAGGAGGCAAATGCAACTCATTGGAATCCATCACACGACCACACCACACAAAGAAAAATAAATGCCTTAATTACATTTCAATTAAAAACATATAAATATATAATATATTCAAAATAAATATCAAAATAATTGCAATTGTAGTGACTAAGTGACTTAGTTTGAAACAAAAAATAATTAAATATATTATCAAAATAAAATAACTTCAAAATTAAATTTACAAACAAAATTATTATAAAATAAAAAATAACTGCATAGAATTTGAGCCAGGACCTTTCAAGAATTAGATGACATCTTGTTATTCATGTCAATTTTTAAGCAGTTTTCACAGTGATGCACTTATTTTTGATATAATTCATTACTGATTAACAATGTACAAATATTTTGGACTTGCCATTATTTTTTCTGCGTGTAGTTGCTCCTGACCATTTGCCATTTGGCCAGACTTAATCCCGGCAATCGGTGTGATGTGGGTGATACGAATACGAACACGAATACAAAAACGTATACGTATACGTATGCGAATGCGAATGGGAATGGAAATGCCGATGCCAGTGATTTGTGTATATGGTATAGAGTACGGAAAATGCGATATGTGGACCGTGATGTTTGCACTCCGGTGCAGCGATGCAATGCGATGCGATGCGATGCTATAAATAAGCCTGGTATTTATTAGGGGGCAATCATAAACTGCGTTAACAACGGGCACTCTGCCAATCTGGCAATCTGTGAATATGCCAACGAATCGAGAATAAGATCCGGTAAACAAAGGAGCCCATTCCGTTGTCGTTGTCTCGTTGTGCGATAAGCTTTCAATTAATTCTGACCGGGCCAACAGGGCGGATGAAAATTGCAAACGGCAAACGGGAACGGCAACGGAAACAGAATCGAAGGGAAGGGAAGTGAAGGGGCAGCGGCAGCGGCAAGAGATCAATTTCCAATTGCAACACGTACACATACATACGTCCGATATATATGCTAATATCCGAAGATAAAGAACCAGCTGATGAAGGTCGCATTCACATCGCAGATGAACAATGAAAACAATGTGAGGGGTATTTGTAGGTGTACGTGCTGAAAACCATCCAGTTAGTTAATTTGATTTTCTGCTCACCGGGAAATGCCAGTGTGCAAACTCCTGATATCTTAGACAACTCACAAGAGGCAAAAGACATTTCAATATTAATTAAGCTTAGAAAAGTTATATTAAGCAAGTGAAAATACTAATATATATGGGGAAAGGTTTTAGGCAAATTTAAAAATTAAAACATAGGATTTATTATATTAATATAATAATTACCAAAAAAAATATATAAATAAGTATGTGATTATATCTGATAGGACTATGTAATATTTTTTAAAATAATCTTTAAAAACTATTTTTTATGCCGATAAAGCTTAACATATTTATTTTAAAGGCAATTTTAAAATGATAAAAAAGTAGTTGAACAGGCAACCTTTATTTCTTAAAAATGACTTGCTCTTTTGTTCAGAATTGACAGCTTATGACTGATTATTTGACTATAAGTATGATGATAAGCTGATTTCCCTGTCTGTTTTTTTCTTAGCATTTTCACAATGTGGTCGATGGCGAAATGACCCTACTGTCCAACATCCTCGACTGTGGAGGCGGCATTCCCGCCCAGCGCCTCGCCCGCCTGCTGCGCCAGTCCAGCTCATCAGGATCGACCCCATCCGGATCAGCATCCGGGCCATTTGAATCCAAATCCATGCTGGAGCCGACAACCTCGCACATCCTGCCGACCGGACGAGTGCCAATCCTGCACGATTTTGGTTCCTCGTCAACAGAATCGCCGCTAACGGGAACGTACCTCCTCGATGGCGTGGCCAGTGTGGCCGAGATGGCCCTGGAGCCCACAGTCAGGGACATCCTGTCCGATCCGGATCCGGACAAGGTTCTCAGCAATCTCAACGCCAGCGCACCCTGGAATTTAACGCTTGCCTCGTCGGCGGCCACCAATTTCGAGAACTGCTCGGCGCTTTTTGCCAACTACACCCTACCGCAAACTGGTGAGTGGGTATATACACCCAAAAATAACATATAAGTTTAGTTTTAATACTTTTGTCTTGAAAATAAACAACAGATAGTATTGATTCAAATATAAATAATATAATCCCTATACTTTTAAGTTTCATTTCTATACCGGAGAGTCTAAACCTGTAGTCTAAATTATTATTGGTATTAATCTTATTGAGAAATTTTCCACATCGAATAGCTTAAAACAACAGATTAGTTTCTATGAACATTTTTTTAAGTGTAAAGTAATTTAAAGCTTAGGAAATCGCTGCTCAACAGAGGTTTTTAACCATTTAATGATTGTAAAGTTGGAATGCTTCGAGTTTGTTAATCGTAGGTGAAATGAAACTTATATTTTCTTTTTTAAACAAATTTATTTTGTGCAATAGAACAAATAATATTAGGCAAAATTTCTCTGTACACAAATAAAAGCAAAGAGCTTTCTAACTTGATAGCCATTTTGAGAGGTTTAATAAAACAAATAACAAATTAAAATAATACAACTACTAAAGCTTAAATTCTGTTTGTAAAAGTCTAGCTTTTTTAAACAAGTATGATTATATTAAACGATGACTCAATTGTAAAGTCTGATTTCTTTTTGACTTGTTGTTGTATTTGGACAGGTCTCTACTGCAATTGGACATGGGACACATTGCTCTGCTGGCCACCCACTCCGGCCGGAGTCCTGGCCCGGATGAACTGCCCTGGCGGCTTTCACGGCGTGGATACGCGCAGTAAGTTACTAAAGGACTTAAAGGGGTTTTTAGTTACCTAATCGTTCGTTAGTCAGGGCTTAACCAGCTGTAAGCTGACTTTGTTCGGCCGATTAAAAGTCAAAGGACATAACCTGCGGTTATTATCCATATCTGGCGGCCACAATTATGCGGATCATTAGCTGGCAATCCGTTCAAGTGCTGCTTGGCAAACAATTACTTGATTTCGTATTCATCGAAAGGATGTCAATATTTGCATGCCTGACTGGCGCGTCCATTCAACCGAACTCCCAATCGGCCCCGCCCTCTTTTAACCCTCTACTCTATATATACCCTATTTAACCCGACGGGGTCATCGTAAAACTGGGCCAAAAGTGGGCGTGGACAATGCCAGGGGCTGTCCAATATGCCCAGCAATATGACCAGGTGTTCCATGTGCATACCTCTAACTAGGTTTGAAAATCCAGGAAAATCGATTGCTTAATTACGATCCGAAATGTGTCCGACCTCTCCGATTTGATAACCCGCAAAATTGAAAGCTTTCCCAGGGGAAACTGGTATTTCATAAACGCAGGCAATATACACTGAAAAAAAGGGCCCTCTCATAAAAAATTCTTGGTTTTTTGGGGAGACTAATGACAAATTTAAAAACTTTACAAAAACTGAATGCTATATTTTTAGTTATTCAGTGCATAATTTAAACATAAGTACGATAACATGCATTAGAAAATTCGTAAATAATTCCCAAAGCAAAGAAAACATAATTTGTCCAAGTGCATAATTTCCCTGGCCTCATTTTTCCGCTCCTTGTCTTGATTTTTAGCCCCAATCCTTGCAGCTAAACGAGGTCGCCCATTCGATTGGCATAATTGCACTTGTCAGTCAGTGTGTCAAAGTTCGATTACCGTCATTAATCCGTGGAAACCATTTCCCCTTTCTCTCCGACACACAGAATTCGCCATCCGCAAGTGCGAACTGGATGGCCGGTGGGGCAGCAGGCCCAATGCCACGGAGGTGAGTCCGCCGGGATGGACGGACTACGGGCCGTGCTACAAGCCGGAGATTATCCGCCTCATGCAGCAGATGGGCAGCAAGGACTTCGATGTGAGTTAAATGCCTTCGATGGCCATTTAAACGTTTTGTAAAGAAGCCATTTTTATGCGGTTTTTTTTTTAATTTGTATCGTACATAATGGAGTTGCAAATATGAATATCTGACTATTGAAAGCAACACGTAATATTTAATATTTCGATTATTTAATATTAAAATAGTTTAATTAATTTGGATAATATTTATTTTAAAATGAATACCTCTTGTTTAAATGTTTGTTTAAATAAGTTAAATATGGGTTTAATTTAAATTAACTTTTGTAAATATTAATATTTATTCCGGATGACTATTTCTGGAAAAAAATTTGTTTGCCTATGAAAGTTAAAAATATTTTTTTTTACCACAAGTTCTTGTAACACTTACATAATTTACAAAAAAATCTTTTTTTCATTTTGACTCTGGTATTATAGTAACTGCTTTTCGTTTTGTGATATCCCATAGCTCTACATAGACATAGCCAGAAAGACTAGAACGCTGGAGATCGTGGGCCTCTGCCTTTCGCTGTTCGCCCTAATAGTTTCTCTGCTGATCTTCTGCACATTCCGCTCCCTGCGGAACAATCGCACCAAGATCCACAAGAACCTGTTCGTCGCCATGGTGCTGCAGGTGATCATCCGGCTGACTTTGTATCTGGATCAGTACCGGCGGGGAAACAAGGAGGCGGCCACCAACACCAGTCTCTCAGTCATTGAAAACACGGTGGGTCTAATAAGTACCTTTGACATGATAACATGATTAAAAATATATTTTTAATGATTTTCGTGTTTCAGAGATATTTAAATTGAAACAAAAAAGTTTTTAAGCATATAAGTATGCAAATATAAAGTTTACGTTCTGAAATCTCTGGAAAAAGTGTTTTAAGTTTACTATAACATTATATCTAAAATATATTTAAAATATTTCCTCGCAAATAGTTTTTAAGCTATTAAGTATGCAAATATAATGGTAACGTTCTCAAATCTCAGGAATCTGTTTTCTTTTGAAACTAAAATAAATCTCCACATTCTAACATCAAATTCAAGAGGTTTTAACTCATTTAAAAATAATAAAAGTTAACTACAAAAAAATTTGAATACGAAAGTCCAAAAGATTCCTTCAAAAGTCGTAGATCCGCATACTTTTACATAACTTTATAGGTGATTGTAATATTTCAGCGTTTTCTGTTCCAAATATTAGAAATCCCCAATCCGTTTGGGGTTTCCCATAATAAAAGCTGCTGATCTATGAAATTTTTTGTAAAATCACTAGAGATGCATTACTAATTAGCAATTTTCATCGGCAGCCCTATTTGTGCGAGGCCTCGTATGTGCTTTTGGAGTACGCCCGTACCGCCATGTTCATGTGGATGTTCATCGAGGGTCTCTATCTGCACAACATGGTGACGGTGGCCGTTTTCCAGGGCAGTTTTCCCCTCAAGTTTTTCTCGCGTCTCGGCTGGTGTGCCCCCATCCTGATGACCACCGTTTGGGCGAGATGCACGGTGATGTATATGGACACTTCGCTGGGCGAATGCCTGTGGAACTATAATCTCACACCATACTATTGGATCCTCGAAGGACCGCGACTGGCGGTTATACTGGTTGGCTATTTCGTTATCTCGTACTACGTCCTCTTATTTATTTATTGCCCAAACTAAACTTGCAGCTAAATTTTTGTTTCCTGGTGAACATAATACGGGTGCTGGTGATGAAGTTGCGCCAATCGCAGGCCAGCGATATAGAACAGACTCGAAAAGCGGTCAGGGCCGCGATAGTCCTACTACCACTTTTGGGTATTACCAATCTCCTGCACCAGCTGGCCCCTCTGAAAACGGCCACGAACTTTGCCGTCTGGTCGTATGGGACCCACTTCCTCACCTCGTTCCAGGGATTTTTTATAGCTCTTATTTACTGCTTTTTAAACGGCGAGGTAAGCAGTTATATTTCTTTTCTGTAATTTAATTAGCAATTTGAATGTATTAAGAATGAAATTAATTTTTCGTATTGTATTGTTTCTATATTTTTTCGAAGGTGCGGGCAGTGCTGCTGAAGAGTCTGGCCACCCAGCTGTCGGTGCGAGGTCATCCGGAGTGGGCGCCAAAGAGGGCGTCCATGTACTCCGGTGCCTACAACACGGCACCGGACACGGATGCAGTGCAGCCGGCGGGTGATCCATCGGCTACCGGAAAGCGGTGAGTTTCCGCTTTAGTGGTCACCACTTGGTTTTGCTGATTTTCCGTAACATAATCAGAATATCACCGCCGCATAAAAGGTTGAACGGAAGGAAACCGAGTAGCGCCAGCATTGTGATGATCCATGAGCCGCCACAGCGGCAGCGATTGATTCCTCGGCTGCAGAGCAAGGCCCGGGAAAAGGGCAGGGATCGGGCGGAGAGGGCGGATGCGGATGCGGATGCGGAAACGAACACGAAAACGGAACCGGAACCGGATCCGGCCATCACGCGCATCCACAGCAAGGAATCGACGGCGGGAAGCACGGGATCGCGTAGCAATCGCGGCTCCAAATGGATCATGGGCATCTGCTTCCGGGGTCAAAAGGTACTAAGAGTACCGTCAGCGTCATCCGTGCCACCCGAGTCAGTTGTATTTGAGTTGTCAGAACAGTAGCCCAAACAAAACTAGTCGTAGACGTGTAGCCCATAGAGCCGTAGCCCATAGAGCCGTAGCCAAATAGAGCCGTAGATGTAGCCAACGCTATATAGCCACCACCACAGTAGCCAGCACCCAACCACCAATTACGAACCGGAAATTCCCAGCAAAATAAATATCCCACAACCAAACTATCCATCTGCATCTCCATGATAAAATATCAATTCCTAACCCGCAAAAAAAGCAATCTGAAATCAAGAACAGCACCATTATGTCGAAATAAAGTTTTTATTTTTGTAATAACTAGTGTGAAAAACTCTTTAGGTTTTACGTAGAGAAATTCCCAATAATCCCAAACCAGAAAAAACAATCTAATAACCTAAAGTCAGCATTAAAATGTTTAATTCTATATCATTTTGCGTTAAAAAAAAAATTTCTAAAGATTAATTTTTTTGTGTTTCCCAGTATTGTCCAGCTTTTGCTTTTGTGTAACTATGTATATATATTCATTCATGTAGGACAGATCCGACCCTTCCTCAAATACCATAGAACTCCAAGTCCAAATTCGATACATCGCGCGTCCATTCTTACTACCTTTAAGTTTCTATTTAATATATTTGATAACGTCAAGTTTCTATTAGCTCCATATTCTGTTCTGTACACGCAAATACACTCAAAAACACTCGCACACGGTTATGAATATATAACATTTTCCAGCAAAACTTGAGCGGCATGTTCTTCTTATTCTATTAATTCTAAAATACTAGATTGAAATATTCGAGTAACTTAACACAAACTTCACGTTACTATGCAGTGTGACCAAATCGCAAGGGGGAACTATGAACTAATTTATAAAAAAAGAAAAGGTTTTTTTTTATATTTTCAAATAGTTTCAACGTGCTGAAGTTATTGTTTCTTATTTTATGGCTGAACAAGTTAAAACTAGTTTTAATGCCTATCTACCAAAACTTTTTTTATAAACCTACCATTATTTCATTGATTCTTTTTATGTTTTATCATGTATTTTAGTTTAGTAATATTATATTTTTGTATGACTTTGACATTGTATACTATTAATTGTATTGAATGTGTTATATTTTATAAAAAGTTTATTTAATATGGTACTTCCTTATGCTTTGGACAGACTGTGCTTTATGTTTGTTAAGCTGGTCACACTGCCAGTCACGATCGTTTACGTTCACTGTCACTGCCTTGAATATTGCTCGCTGCGCTTTGTTTTGCAACGAAATACTTTTCCACGATCGATATTAAACTAATGGGGTCCGCAATCGGAGACATAAATTGAATAAATATTTTTCCGGCTTATCTCCCGACTCTGTTTCCCACTTAAAATGCGGCGCTCTTTCCGGACTTTCGTCTTCTTTTCCTCTTCTCTTCGTTTATCGATTGCAGGACAAATGTGTGATGCCAGGTTCCCAAAAGACGCAGCAAATATTTATGACGTCACAACTGGCACCGACGTCGACGCTGGCAGCGGTAGCAACAACAATAACCACAACAACAACAACCGCAGCAGCAAAAACCACAATAGCAACAATCGCTACAATCGCAACGATAACAAAATCGAAGGCAAAAGCCAAAGCGATTGCAAAAGGTCATCAAATGCCGAAATCTTAAAGGATATCGATCTCTATTTCTTGCAAGCGCAACTGTACTAAGCGAAACTAAAATGCTGAAAAGTGTGCACGTTTTTTGTATGCAGCGGCTTCGATTATACCGCTAAAAGTTTCGATAAATATCGATTAATATACATTATATCCAATATTTTTTGTATACTTACCAACGAAGTGGTGGATCACAATTTTTTTGCATATACATCCGTATATACATATTTATATATTTAAAGAGAATGTGTAATGAGTGTATTGATGAATGTAATTGTTAATTTTTTTTTTGAATAAGCTCAAATAACATAAATGTAACGGTATTTACATAAAGCATAGAGAAAACATATTTACATACTTGGTATTTACACTGTCGCATGCAAAAGAGAAACCTGATAGAAATATCGGAGCATATATCGTATATTGAATATACACGCATATATATTAAAAATAAACACGTAAAGAGAGTACAAAGCACTTGGAATGGTAAAGAGGAACAAGAAGAAAATAAACGGAATTTGAGCGTATCACTATGTCACACATCATCTGATCTCTGATCAGCGGGAATATTGGATATTCACCCTAACGTTAAGCTTACTATGCATTTTTAAATGTAATATTTTGTGTGTGAAGCCGCGTCGGTTTTGATTTATTTACTCTGTTTCCGTTTCGCTTCACGCAATTTTCAAAACTAAGAATTCAAGCCGAATTTAAGAAATGGAACCTAAAAAAAACCAGAACACCCAGTGTTCGATGGCAAACTATTACGTGTATAAGGCTAAATGGAAAATGAATAAACATGATTTTATATGCATACATACTAAACCAAATTCGGTTGTCTATTTTCTTCATCTTACTTGGGATCAGGTTCGAGGTCCACAAAGCTTGCGCTTTCAGATCGGCACGTGTCATTCGCGAATTCCCAAATTGGCCCAGCTTAATTGGCAATTTTGGTCCATAAGCAGCTTAATCGGACGATTTAATGGGCAGTCAAAAAAGTGCGATAAAAAGATGATGTGGATATTATGCCAGCTAACAATAATCGACGTTTTGGATACCCTATAACTGTATAGTTTAAAAATTAACTTACTAATTAGTTTTATAATTATTTTGTACTTAAATTTAAAGGCTTTTTTTCACTTAATAATGCTGACTTCCGTAGAACTTCCCATCCTAAGCAGTCTCAATGACAATTAAGTCACTAATTGCTGGTGATAGAAAAACTGACAGGCATATAGATGACCTATTTAAATTGCATAAAATGCATCAACTACTAATAAGGCAAATCGACATTGGAGAAATGAATCTCTTTACCTATAAGAGTATACAAAAAAATAACGTTTTACTACGTTTACTTGATATTTAAACTATTTTGAAAAGCTAAACTCAACTGTTTTTGATTTTAACCATTAATTTGAAGATTTGGTAAATCGAGCGTATACTTAATATATCTCTCAATTTTGTATGCGTATACTTGATATTTATCGTGCGTATACTTGTTTTTAGCTGACTCTTTTTCCGCAGTGCACACTTAGACACTTAGATACACAGAAGCCAATTGACAATTGAAACCACAAACATAGCAATCACAAAGGTTACGATTACGGATTGTATTTCCAAGAACGACAAGCGGTACAACATCCGGATCACAATGAACAACGACAACAAAAACAAGAGGTGGTCTTCTAATGGGCGGTAGTGGTGGTGGTGGTGGTGAGGTAGCAGAGTTGAATTGGGTGATGTTTGGTGGTCAGGTAAATGGGGTACTTTGGAAGTGGAATCGGTCTAGAAGAGCAGGTCCTCGTCGCCGTCCTCATCGAGGATGTTTTGCGCCTCCTTGGTCTCGGTCACTTGGCCCAAACGCCGCTGCTCCTCACGTTTTTTATCGGATGCCTTACGAGCCTCGCGTTTCTTATCCTGGATCTTCTTCAGCCGATAGAACTCCTCACGCTCCAGTTCGTCCAGCTCGCTGATGATGTACTCTATGGTTCGGTTGATGCGGGGTATGATCACTGGAAAGGATAACAAATAATTAGGTTATATTATAAATTACATATTTTAAAGAAAAGAGAAAAATCATTAAGTCTTACAGACAACAAAATATAGCAAGCCAAAAATTAAACATTAATTGCAAAATAATACAATATCACACTCATAATTTTAAAATATTATTGAAAAAGACTACAGAAATTAAGTATGCGAAAATTATAAATAAGAAATTAAATTTAAGTTCTTTTATAATGCAGTTTGGATACTTTTAAACTTTTTTTGCATAATTCGAGCACTATTTTTTCTGTCTATTTTGAAATTTTAGTGATATTAAAATGTAAAGCATAATACCTTAAGTTTTAAATAATTTGCCTTGAAAACTAAGTTTTTGGATTTAAGAAATGTTTGTACTTTACATATTTAAGTGCGTAAACAAAATATAAATATATATATATTGTATATAATAAGACCCATGAGAAAAAGCTTAGAAATGGGGTTTCTAGCCCGCCACCCACCGTGCTCAATGGCATTGACTCGCCGGTTGGTGACCTTGATCACATCGTCGAGGGTCACAAAGGAGGTCTGCAACGAGGCCAGTTCGACGAGGAGGCGCACGGCGCACTGGTAGTTCTTCTTGAGCTTGGCCAGCTGCTGACCACCGCGTGCCAGGCCGGCCAACTCGTAGGTGTCCACACCATCCGTATACGGCTCAAACACGGGCAACGTGACCCCGGCCACATTGTCCTTTTTGGTCCTGATCTTGATCTGCGCCTTTGTCACATTCTGCAGCACTATCTGGTTAATGTCGCCAGTGGTGAACTTGACCTCGGCCAACGAGAAGGCAGCCTCCTTCATCACCTGACCCATTAGGGTTTTGGTCTGCAAAATAATCGTAGGTTATAGTGGCACAAGTCCATCATTCAGCGTGTGCTCACCTCTATGATCTTGCCCAGAATCAGGCGAAAACGCATCTGCAGAGCATCTGCTTTCTTTTTCAACAAGCCATGTCCCTTGGTGGCCCCAGCCAAACGCGATTTCATCAACGTTTGGGCACTACAACATTTATACATATAGCATGGATTCAAATCCTACCAGGATCTGTGATACTCACCCACGTGAGGGAAATATAGGCAGGCGATCTTTGGCTGCCATTAAAAATTAAACACTCAAGTAAAAAACTTAAAAAAAAAAATAACAAAAATACAACACGCACCACGCCAACCAAGTCCGAACTATAAATAACAACAACAAAATATTTACTAAATATATGCGAGATACTACGAAAATAAAATAGACGACAAAAAATAAGACGAGGGAACGACAAACAGCACGACAACAAACTGGGCCAGCGAATGAGCGACCTGGCGAGAGAGTGACGATCTCTAGATGGGATACGATGTTATGGGATAGAATGGAATCGAATAGAATCGAATCGAATCGAGTCGGATGGACTCGGATCGGAGGGGCTATTATGGGGGCTCGGAATTGGATTCGGGCCACTCAGCTGTTCCGGAACAGCTGCCACACATTATAACACAGTATATGCGATGATAAAAGGTATGTCCGATATGCAAACACCTGTAACTCGGTGGTTTTTGGGCTTCGGGATATGAAATTTGGTAGACCACCTTTTGAAAACTATTTTATTGTGAGGTATTATAATTATTCTTCTCGGCATTCAATATTTTTATGATAATTTAATTATGAGTTTTTCGTTAACCTATATGAATAACTTGTATATAAATAGTGTTAATGTGGAGGCATGTATTAATAATACCACAAAACACAGAACAGAATATGAATAACTTGTATATAAATTGGTTTACTCTTAAGGCAGTAAAATCAAATCACAAAACAAAGGTAAAACGTTTAGTCGTTAGGGCTAAGCAGACCAGAATAGTTCTCTCAACAAAGATATGTATGAACTTTTAATTAGTTAAACCATAACTTTAACGAATTGATTATTAAAATATATACAAAATGTAAAGTATATAATGCTTTTTAGCGATGACATCAGCTGATCCAAGAGCAAAAATTGTGATGATATAAAATCACTTTGTCAACAGAATTTTAAATATGGGTAAGTTTGACATTCCGGTTGTATTGATCATTTTCCCAAGCTTTTGGATATTCTCACCATATCATGGACTTATAAGTAAGATTCTAAATTTCTTGGCCTCTTAATATTATGGATTTCGGAAAGTTCTCCCAAAGGATTTCCGAGATCGCGATCAACCGCGGATTTCAATGGAGCAACAAAAGGATGTACCATTTGAAGGGCAGTTAGTGATTGCACCCGTTCGATAGTCACTCGATAGGCCGATTGTCATTTTGACAGATTTGTGACGCAGTGATGCCAGTTCCGTTTTATTACCGTTAGCGCAGATTGATTTCAATTGAATATGATTGCCATCAATAACGCACAACAATTTTTGGGGCAAACAAAAACTAGCTGCCACACGCAGATAAACGCACAGCGGCACTGACTTTGAAATACCTTTGTACCCCATCTGTTCGGATGTCTACGTGACTCCGGTTACGGTTACGGTTCCGTCCACGTCCATCCGGAGCAGAGCCACGCAATTTGAATATGCGTCTTGTGCCGTCATGTGACCCGATTTGAATGTACAGAGTGTGTCTATAAAGCACTATTGTCCAGAGAGAAAAAAATTAGTTTTAGTATTGCCAAAACAAATAATTTGTAAAAAATTATTATTAGTAATTATTGTACCTATCTCTGCTATACAAATATTATAGCATGTACTGTTTTATTATTAAATATTTAAAAAAAATACACTGCCTTGTTTTCCCCAGTGCAGTTTACCCATTGTGTGTCAGTGGACACGTGCCATCCCCATTTGGACACAGCCCAGTGGCGATCAAGTAGGGGTATTAATTAAAGTAATGAATATGCATACCAGCGAGTAACGAGGTGAGGAAAGGTCGGAATTCGATGGCACTTTTGGTCAGCAACGGCTTTACGTGGAAACAAGGTCATCTGGGCCATTAGAAAATGTTTCCATACTCAAAAGCTTTAAACATGGCTCAAGATAAATATATATTTTAAATTGCATTTACAGTTTTGACAGCGGCCAACAAATAAAATTTGCTAAATTAAGCATTTTTAAATTCATCCGTAAAAATTAATGATTAAGCGCAGATTAAGCACCTTTTGAAAATTATTATACCTAATTTGGCGTAAAGAAAATGAATTAATTTTAAAACATTTAAAAACACTTCTTATCATGTTAAGTGCATTACCAACTGACACATAAGGACTCCAATATATTTATCCTACCACAAATTTTACGCCTTATTTGCACATACTTTTAAAGGATGTGTGCCCATATATATTAACAGGGATTCTCTCCCTTTTTTTTTAACTTGGCACGTCCTGGCCGTTAAGTAAGTCAAAATCTGTATATAAGTGTGAATACGGGCGTACATTGTACGGCGGGTATAACCTAACAAAGGCGGAATCAACAGTTGGTGCAAATTCGAACAAAAAAGGGGGGTTTTGGGTGGATTTTACGAAGGGAAATCGAGCGGGGAAAACTCTCGATTTTACTGGGCTAACAATTGTATAAGTATTTGTATTTGGGCATAAGTCACGGCCAGGCAATCGTTCACGTTGCGTATACGCATGGCTCACTCGGAGGACACGACAACAACAGGCAAAACAGAGCAACTGTTGGACGGCAAAGCGGGCTCCCCTGCCCCCTTCTTTTACCCCACCCCGAAGGGCAGCATTTTTCTCATGCTTCGGCAATGATGCAAACCCGAGGGCGTACACTGAGCGCAAAAATGGGTACTCCTTGGGCACTACATTACGTACGTACAAATAATCCTTTAATCGTATTCAAAATTATCACTCCGATTCTGGTTAAAAGTTACATTTGCCATCACGATTCGATTTCGTTCAAGTAAGCCTATGCTTAAAATTCCCAACATGTTTTTCGGTAGCAAATATTAATTTATATTTCAACTGATGCTTATTGTCAGATTTTCTTTGTATTACTTTCTGAATCCATTTTGATTGTAAAATTAAACCTATAATAAACTAACAAGCTTTAGTGATCAATGAAGTTAAAGTTTGGTTTTCCTTAGATTGTTTGATTAAAAAATAGTAAAATATTTTTTCGCAAAATATATTGCTAGATATTTTCTCGAGGTGAACATACGGGATGCTGTCGCTGGTGGTTCACTTTTGTCGGCTGCTCCAGCTGCTCCAGTCGCGTTTCGCATCTGAAAGCGCCCGCAAGTAGGTTACACATTTTTTCCCAGCTGAGGAAAACAAACAACAAGTCCTCGAAATACCGTCCATTTTATCCACTTCAATTCGTCGCAAAACTACAGAGTAAGTGGAACTAACGTCTAAATTTCATGTGATCCAACTCGAAATCGGTTTGCCACAGGTGATACGGGGTCGTGTTTGTAATGGTCTTTGGAATTAAACGAAAAGGATGATATGGTACTTTGTGTGGCGGCGCGGGGGGGAGTGTCATTGGGAGCGCCTTTCGATGGGGGTGTGTCATTAGGGCAACCACAAAGGTTGGGGAAAGTGCAATGAGAGTGAGAGACAAAGGTTGAAATTCAAAAGGGCAGAGAGAGTTGCGACTAATTAAGTTATAGAAAAAGTGTCCTTCCCCAAACACTATAAACACCTATGATTATGTATGCGTCAAAAAAATATTTTAAAAAACGATATCAACCTTATTAAATTGTATTTCTAGGTAGAAAAAATCAGTTGTTGATTTTTTTACATTTCGGTTAATCAGGTACAATTTAATTAAACAGAACGAATTGAAAAATTACAATTGAATACCATTTTTTTTAACTACGTTCTATTTCTGCTTGACAAAAGAAAATACTTTATTTTAAGGAAAGAAACAGTTAATTTTTAATGACAAAACAAATAACGAAACAACAACACTTACGAAAATAAAGCTAAAGTTAAAGTTGAACTAAGGTAAAAGGTTGCCTTCTTCGTATAAAAAGAAAAATCATTTTTTTACATAAATACATCGAAGGAATAAACCACAGGTTTACTAACAGAAATCAATCAGATTAAAATTATTATCAAATTATAATATTTTTAGTGCTTAAATTTACAGTCAAAGATATTTAATAAAAAAATAAGATAATTTAAAGGTACTTTTACATATGACTTGACACTGCTCAAATCATTTTAATAATATATGATTCAAAGTATCAATGATAAAAACATATACAAGTTTAAACATATTAATTTAAATATTAATATTAATTACTCACCACCATTTAGGAATTGGTCACCACCCGAAGAAGTAGTGCCTCCGCTAGCTGCGCCACCATGGAGTACAAACAGATCGAATTGGAGGACTGTGACCAGGTGCTGGAGCACCTGCGTCGCTCCTTCTTTGCCGATGAGCCGCTGAACAAGTCCGCCGGATTGTGCCAAAACGGTAGCAGCTGCATCGCTCTGGAGGCTCACTGTGTGGAGGCCATCAAGGATCGGATGAGCCTGATGGCCGTGGACGCGAAAGTGGAGGGCTGCTGCAAAATAGCCGGCGTTGTGCTAAATGGCATTTTGAGGCCGGGAAACGCAGCCAAATCTTTGCAAAAATTGGACAGCACTAGCGACGCCGATTTCCGGAAGATCTTTGAGCTGCTGCACGGGCATAGTCTCAAGTACAATCTCTTCGAACACTTCGAAGTGGGTTCCATTTTCGATGTGCGCATCCTGTCGGTGGATTCCGGTTACCGTGGCCAGGGAATCGCCAACGAGCTGGTCAAGCAATCCGTGGCGGTGGCCAAAGCTAATGGCTTCCGCCTGATGAAGGCCGATGCCACTGGCATATTCTCGCAGAAGATATTCCGCTCCCACGGATTCGAGGTCTTCTCGGAGCAACCCTATGACAAATATACGGACACACATGGCAAGGTTATCCTGCCCGTTGAAGCGCCGCACATCAAGATGCAGCAGCTCTACAAGAGGATCTGTGAGGGAGATAAGGACGACAAGGAGCAGCCCCACTAAGGAGACGACTGGCTGACTCTGATTCGGAACAATAGTCTTTTATATTTTCTACATACAGCCAACGTATTTATTTATAATCGCATTGGAATGTGTTTGTGTGGGTCCACCTAAAGAAATGCAAACATATACGGAAATTACTAGATGGCAGATTACGGATAGTACGTTTGGGGCAGTTCCACTTTTGTTCCCTAAATTGAACATTCTCTGAAATTATATTTCAGTTGTTTTTATAACAAGAATCATATTTTTTAAATAACATTATGTTACATCCCTTTTAAGCGAAGATTTTCTATGCAAGTATCTGTCCTGCTACCAGTTATATTTCCATTGGTAATCCTTCATGTTTTTTAACGATGTAGTTGTTTGCTTTTTTTCCGCTTAGCGAAAATGAATGACAGATGGCATCTTAAACCCAAGGACGCCCAAATAAATCATACTTTTTAATATTTATAATAAACTAAAGGAATAAGAGATCAGGATCACTAAAAAATACTATATTTAAAAATTAACGGCTCCTAATTTATGTCTTAGACTACAAGGTAACATTACAAAATCAAGAAGAATTTACAAAAAAAAAAGAACTATGGAAAGAGATAAAAAGTCCTCTTCAACAATGATTTGCAAATAAATAACATCAAGGTCACCTAAGTGACCAAAAACACGAGGATTTAAAAAAAGGAAGCTCAATTGCACTTCCAACGATAACTTTAAAAAACATTACATGAAGTTCTTATCAACTACATTTTAGGACCTCCTAAGGTTGGCTTAACCATTCCTACTCTTAACGAGTATTTTAAATATTGCATTTGAAAAGAACTCGCTCTTTAATTGAATATGGAATGTCGCAACTTAATAATTATATATGTAAAATATATAAATTATATGGGAACAGAACCAGGAAATACCTTTGGATTACTTTCCGTTTACAGTTTTTTTGGAGCGTAAGTCGATCCACTCTATAACTATAACAGCTGCCTGGCTGGTATTTGCATAAACATTTTGTAAGTGTTGTTTTTTATGGGGACCAACTGCTAGCAATACCTAAATAAAGTACATTGTTGTGCCAAAGTTAACCAAGCAGCTCCTTCTTTAAACCTCCATCTCCCTTTAAAATGTCTCCCTTTAAGGTTCTAATATCACAAGCGCAGATTCCAATCCTCCGTTTCCTATAACCTGGCAACCTGGCAACTGCAGGTACTCCTATTCCTCTTCCGTGCTCCGCATTCGCTTTCTACTCCTTTCACTCACTGGCTGGGGTGGTTTTCTGCTCGTAGATGAAGATGATGTCCTCATCGGTGCCGTAAGCGCGACGTGCCGTGTCCATGGACTCGATGAGGCAACGGCAAATATCTGTGGAACACAGCCAAAAATGAAAATCAATGAATTTATAGCGTAATTGGATGGCACAAGGGTGACTCGATTTGCCCCGAAGTCGATTATGTTTATTAAAAATAATAAAATAAAACAAAATATAAGTTTATACAAGTTCTTTCAAATTGATTTGCTTTTAAGTTCAGGCTCTTAAATATCTTATAGAATAAACGATTTGCCGATTAAAATGTAATAAAAATTCATTAAATTTAAAATTTTCCTCATAAAAAAGTATATTGGAACCTAAAGTGCCTTGGTTTAACTATTTTTAACCACACATATTTAAACCTTATTAACACCAATCTAAGCCTTAAGCAGCCAATTTAAAAAGGGTTTACTTTCTCATCGAGTCACCTTGGTGTTCCTTGAGTACTTACGGCCATCGTGCACCTCGGGATTGTGATAGAAGAGCTTCTTGGCGGCCATGTCGTATCCACAGAGCACCACATAGTGACCGGCATACCTTTTTACACCCAATTGTCGTGTGTTTCGAGCGATGCAAGGTATATAAAGACAGCTTTTCATTTGCGATTTATGAGGTATTTGGGGGGTATTTTCGGGTGGCCTGGAGGCTTATGGGAACTTACCCGAATTTCTCCAGGACATTGCGTTTGCAGACCTCGCAGGTGAGCAACGAGGCATTGGTCAGCAGGATGACGGGTCCGTGGCGGGCCAAATGCCGCAGGATGACCTCCATGTCGACGGTGCGCTGCTCCACGCGCAGTCCATGTGCCCGGGCGTCCTTGAACTTGCGCGTCACCCGACGTTCGTCCTTGTCAATGATCTTGGAATAGTAGGTGTGCTGGGCGTAATTCGGATCGATGCCGAGCGTTTGGGTGAAGTACTCGTGGCGCACCTGATATTAGGAATGGTAAAAATACAGATTCTTTTGATAAATAATGAAATATAATTACAAAGTTTCAATATTATACGCATTTTTAGTACTAACAACAATTTTTTTTAACAAAAGAGGATTCATGATATCCGCGTGTTCTCACCTGGTAGCGCATCAGCAGGTAGCACAGGTCTATGGTCCAGGTGCTGGACCCGAATCCCTCCTCGCCGCAGACAGCCTCAAAGTTCCCAAGGAGCTGCTCCCGCTGCTGCGCCGACAGGATCATGATGATGCAGGATAGTCCGCAGTCCCAATTGTAACGCTGCTGGTAGTGCGTCAAATTGTAGTGCTTGCTGGGCGCCAGTCCGTTCATCCTGGCCAAATCCGTTGGTCCTTGGGTCCTTTTCGTCCTGTGCCCTCGACTGGCTGCGCTGCGCAGGCGAATCTGGCGTCGATTTGGGAATGTTTTGATTTTTCGGGGTTGACTTACGTTTCCTTCTTCCGAGTCTTCCTAACAAGTGTGACCGTTCATTGGGTGAGTGCAAATACACCGTGACTTTTATTTCACACACTTATTAATAAAATTTCGAATGCCAAAACTTAAAAGTTTTATAAAAACTAATTATCTCAAAGTGTTGTAGTCTATTTCATTCCCAATTTTGCGATAACCATTTTTATATGAATGGAGTTCGGGCTATGTTTTTAATCGAAATCAAAAAAATAACCTCTTAAAGCAAGCTTTACTTGAAACTCAACATAAATCGTTAGTTTTGTATCAAATAAAAATTTAAATAAAAATATTAATACTCTGGGTGTTCCCTAAACGACTGAATCTCTGAATTGATGAAATTTGGTCAGCTGTTTGTCAGCTGTTCCATACAAATACAACCCAGAAGCTGCTGAAAATTTCGTTGAATTGTTAAAGATCCAGGATAGACCTACTAATAGTCCCAGCATAAAAATAATCTCCAAATATATGCATGTAAAGGAAGTTTTGACAGTATTGTTAATAAAACCAATAATTCGACTTCCTGCTTATTTTTTTTTAAATCAAATAATTTTGAATAAAATTTTTTTTATTGCTTTGCAAAATTAAAAAAACTTCTAATACGAATACCGTGCGCGAAAAATTTTTGCAAATTGACTCAGCAGTCTGGCAACGCTTAGCTGGGGCACGCGCTATACAGTCTTCCTGAATTTATTCGGTTTTCTCAGGACTTTTCAGCGGGAGAACTCAGTCTGAGTTTTTGGTGTTTGAACTCTGTCAATTCTCAAAATCGTCATTTCCAGAAAAACACCCACAATTACCAACAAACACGCCGCGCAACTTTCAGCCGGATGGCGATGCACAATCTCCCCATTGGTAAACCGGCTGAAACTTGCAACGGCCACACTAGCGCGCTGGCAACATTATTTTAATTATCAGTGTGACCATAATTGTTATTATTTTCACGTGTGGCCCAAACTAGCCAAAAAACCAAGCGCCCGCTAAAACAAACAAATCGTAAACATAGCAGCGAGCAGCCGGTGACCACCGGAAAAAGGAGGTGCTACCGACATCACCAAAATCTCAGCCAGAACGATCGCAAAATCGGCGTCGGCGTTTCCACATAGCCGGAACATCAAGAAGAAGAAGCACGTGTGCGGCGTGCCGAAAAAAAGAACGGGAAACTACATTTAAACCAAGGAGGCGGGAGAGGAAGGATCATCGGAAAACGAAAGCCGCGAGGACATGGTGCCCATCGGAGCCGTGCACGGCGGCCATCCCGGCGTAGTGCATCCGCCACCGCAACCGCTGCCCACGGCGCCCAGTGGCCCGAATTCGCTGCAACCGAATTCGGTGGGCCAACCGGGGGCCACCACCTCATCGAATAGCAGTGCCTCCAACAAGAGCTCGTTGTCGGTGAAGCCCAACTACACGCTCAAGTTCACGCTGGCCGGGCACACCAAGGCGGTGTCGGCGGTCAAGTTCAGTCCCAATGGCGAGTGGCTGGCCAGTTCCTGTGAGTATATCTGAAATCTATTCCTGGGAAGATAATTACTTCCTCCCGAACCCATGGAGGGACTTGGAGCTAGGTGTTGTCCCTTCAAATGCAAACAAAGGATCATACTCACATACATATTCGAGAAGTTTACCAAGTAGTTATCCTTCAGAGTAGTTTCTCCACTTCATCGAGGGGTCACAGAAATCTCTTGCAACCGAATACGTTAGCAAATCTGTATGTAGAAATATGCGTATGATGCGTATATTCCACCCAATGGTTGGAAGAAAGTTTCTTATAAAAACCTTTCATTTACCAAACAATTTTGCCTAACTGCTAGTTTTGATATTAGTCTTTGAATGAAAAAGGGGTTGTCATTTATCGAAGGGTCATGTCAATGTATATGTTCATAAGTTTCATCCGAAGTAGGCTGGTGTGTATTTGATAAGTTCTATCGCACAATGTATAGAATTCATTGTTTATTGGCAGATGGTAGCTTGTTTAGTAGAATTTTTATTGTTTATGAACAGAATGTCAAGTAATCGTTTACCTTACCTAATTATAAGTAAAATTTATAAAATACACATAAGACTTTTAAAATGAAATTTAGCAACTACCTGGGGTATTTGTTTCATTTTATTCCCAACCAAAAAGGTATTACTCTCCTGGAAATACACAAAAAAACGTGAATGACTTATACACTAATAGAGCTTAAAAACATTGTAAGCAATTAAATAAATTGATTTATTCTTATTAAATACTCTCTTTTCCCTTAGCCGCCGATAAACTGATCAAAATCTGGGGAGCCTACGACGGCAAGTTCGAGAAGACCATTTCGGGCCACAAGCTGGGCATTAGTGATGTGGCCTGGAGCTCGGACTCGAGACTCCTCGTGAGCGGCAGCGATGACAAGACCCTCAAGGTCTGGGAGCTGAGCACCGGGAAGAGCTTGAAGACGCTGAAGGGGCACAGCAACTATGTGTTCTGCTGCAACTTCAATCCGCAGTCCAACCTGATTGTCTCCGGCAGCTTCGACGAGAGCGTTCGCATCTGGGACGTGCGCACTGGCAAGTGCCTGAAAACCCTGCCCGCCCACTCCGATCCCGTTTCGGCGGTCCACTTCAATCGGGACGGCTCGCTGATTGTGAGCAGCAGCTACGACGGACTGTGCCGCATCTGGGACACGGCCAGTGGGCAGTGTTTGAAGACCCTGATCGACGACGACAACCCACCCGTCAGCTTTGTCAAATTCTCGCCCAACGGCAAGTACATCCTGGCCGCCACATTGGACAACACGCTCAAGTTATGGGACTACTCGAAGGGCAAGTGCCTAAAAACGTACACGGGCCACAAGAACGAGAAATACTGCATATTTGCCAACTTCTCGGTGACGGGTGGCAAGGTGAGTTTGGAATCTCTACTTCCAGAGGGAGTTATAGTTGTATTATTTCTTTATTATTATTTTTTTTTTGTAAAATTTTAAAGATTTATTGCTCAAAACCTTTTAAAATTAAACTGACTACTGATCAAATACTTCTAATTTGTAATCATGAATTTAATTGCTTATTTAGTATGTAATTTAGAATTGTAAGCATTATTAGGTATTGACAATTCAAGGATTTAAAGAAAAGAAATTTGAAAAGAACCAAAGGTTTATTCACTGTTAACCAAATTAATTTAACTTTCTAGATTAACTTAATTTCTCTATTCATTTTCTTGTACTTCGAATTTAATGTGCATTTTGACGTTTCAGTGGATCGTGAGCGGCAGCGAGGACAATATGGTCTACATCTGGAATCTGCAGAGCAAGGAGGTGGTGCAGAAACTGCAGGGACACACCGACACCGTGCTGTGCACCGCCTGCCATCCCACGGAAAACATCATCGCATCCGCGGCGCTCGAGAACGACAAGACCATCAAGCTGTGGAAGTCGGACACATAGAGCGGGCGACTTGTATCGCTGGTATCCAGCTGGAGGAAGGACGAACGGGCCATCGGCCGGAGCAGCCTATTGGCTGCCTTCACACATACATTTCTTGGATAACACTATGTTAAAGGAAAAATTTAATTAATAATTTTAATATCCCTTTTTTTGATACATAATTTAAAGAAGGAAACCTTAAATTCTACTTTTAAATCACAATTTAAAATTCACATTCTAAGGCAGAAAAGAAAAACCACACAAAAAAAATCGGAAAAACAAAAAAAAACAATTATTAATGTATAAATATTTATTAGCCTACTGTATTGGCCACAAAAAAAGCGATAATATTCCCCAAAAAATGTTTGTAACCTTTGACACAGCCACACACACCCCCACAAAACAATTATGATGATCTTTCGGTGACGAGACAACTAAATTTAAGCAACCACACACATACATATACATAGGTGCTTGGGGCAACACCCGAGCGCCAGAAAGAATATATATAAAATACGAAATGTAAATTTTGAATAAAAGAAAACACGTCCTCAACGTCGCAAAAGATGCCCTTGCATCTTTAGCGTTATTTGTGGCGAGTCACTTATTTGTAATATTTGGATTTTATTTAATTTTTATTGAAGGGTATAAAGGTAAAGTAGGTTCAACGAATATATGTTCAAAGTTTATTTTGTTATGTTGGTTCGGATCGGAGCAAAAACAAAAAAGAAAATGGTCGAAATTTTAAGTATTTGGGAGATTCTATTTGTTAAAAACCCACCAAAAAACCTTGTTTTTTTGTAAAAACATAAAATTGACCTAAGGACGTTGTAATTTGAATATCCCCCGCAAATTGAGTGTGACCCTGGGTCAGCGCAGTTTTATAAGTCAGGGTTACACTGGCCCACCGAAAGTGTGACCGTAAGATGGTTCATTTTGACAGCGGCGCGCAACGGTCACTCAACAAAACGAAAATCGAAAAACCGACGAAACACGGAAACACGGATTCGATTCACTCGTTTCGTTTGGCTGAACTTAACCGAATCCGCGGTCCGAATCGGAATCCTCGTCAATGTGCGCGCCAATCGCCAAAACAATCACCCAGTGAATTTTGGGTCTTGCAAATAATTTCGATCCGCCGCCGTCGCACACTCACATAAACAACCGCACCGCACACACACACACACACACACACATACACATACGTATAGTAGAAAAAATAAAGTTGCTATAAAAAAACAAATGAAAACATCGCGCTCGTGGGAAAATCGATATTCCTTTAACCAAATTGTTAACATTCGCTGTCATTCGGGGTTTTCCAATCGTTAATAAATCATTTTTTTTTTGTCTGTGCAAAGTACGCTGAAAGAGCGAGAAAGAGCGGCGTGAACCGGTGATGAAGGAGAGGTCGAGAGAAAATTAGCAAGTTTATAAATATATATTCCAACATAAAAATTGCAAATATTAATGAACAAGACAAGATCAGCAGCAGCAACAACAAAAACAATTAGGCCCAGCAACAAGAAATTCGAATACGAAAATAAACCAAACAAATCGGCGGGAGCAAAAGAAAGAGAGTGAGGAAGAGCTATTGAGTAAAAGACGGGAGAGGCGCCAAAAGAAAAGTGTATAATTTTCGCGTCACACCCAGAAACACGGAAAACTCCCGCCCACCACCGCCACGCCCCCGACCTTCTGCCACACCAATAACAAAAACAACAGCTAAACGAAATCCGAAGAAAAGAAAAACAGACAGATAAGAATAAGAAACCCAAACATTCGGACACTTACTCTTCTTCTTCCCACTCCGTTTTGGCATGGAAAACATGGTAAGTTAACAAAAAAAAACGTAGTTCTATTTTTAGTTTAAGGTGTTCCATTAGTTAAATCAATAATCAATCACTAAACAGAGGAAAACTAAAGACAAATTTCGTACAATTTAAATTAAAAATAATATAAAATGAACCCCCTGCCTACGCCCTTGGTGGTTAGCCACCCGCTAAGGTAACGTGCCCCTTCTTTTCGACGCCCTTGGGCCGCCTATTAGCACATTTCGGTTAGTCGTTGTTTTTGTTTTTACCGTGTGTGTATGTGCACAGCTGCGGGCAAATAAATATGACTAAATATAGCTTTATTGAAAAATGTTTCTGTAATTATGATACGGACAAAATATTTACATAAACATATGCAAGTGTAGCCATAATAAAATAATAATTTGTTTTTAAATATGCCAGGTTTTTAAGGAGTATGCATGTTAAGTGGGTTTAGTTTAAAATACATAAGGTTACACCTTAATAAGTAAAGATTAAATTTTAATTGGGAAATTATAACTTTCTCTTCGCTCCTATTCATTTTTAAAATCTTGAGACAAAAGCATTTCATAAAAAAGTATATTCAAACTTATAAACATTGTTGTGATAAACGTACAGATTGTACACTTAATCTTTATTATAGGTCTTATTTTATGAGTAGAATATTGTAGGGAAACAATATTAATGCAGTGAAAATGCTATTATTTTGAGCACAACTGTGTGACTGTTTGGACAGAGCTCGCGTGTTGTTGTATTCTTTTGTTCCGTGTAGCATTGTGACCTGTTAACTTGGAAAGTTACTCGGGATCTCGTGACTGTCGTCTGCATTCAATATTCATAGCTAGCGGGAAATGTCCTTGTGCAAGAGTTTCGTCCGCAGTGGTGCCCCTCTTGGCCCCCTATTAACCTCCCGACGGGCACAGCAGTGTGTGTGCTTAACCCTTATGCCAACACTCCCTTGATGTACAGTCACCACAAAAAAAAATAAAGAAAAAACGCCCATTGCAGGATGTTTACGGTCATGCATTTGTTTGTTACTTTCACTCTCTGTAAACATCTTTCGAATGAATGGTTTCATTGTGGAAGAAGGCAACAAAGAAGAATTTAACATTCTGCGATGTAAACACTTGAAAATCAAGAACTGTTTCCGTTTGCCGTAAATGCCGGATTAAACAAATAGATTTATTCCAATATTTTATTTCTAGATTAAGTAGGTTTTAGGACATAACCAATTTTAAAAAATATTTTTTTTTTGCAACCAACTTGGAATGAAGACATTCGTACAAGACCTTGCGATTTGAGATGATGATGATCTCAAAATTAATGGACAGTTTTTATAAAATCAACTAAATAAAGACTAATCAGAATACAGCAAGCATCAAAACAAGAAATATAAATGACTTAACCATTGGTAAGGCGATACTTTTATTACTTTGGAATAAAACTAAGAGCAATGACCATATAAATTGACATTTATTTAAAATGTTACTTTTACAAAAAAGTATAAAACACTTGAAGCCGATGTTCTGAATTGCTGATGCAAATAAGAGGAAATGTAGGCTTTAGATTGTGAACAATGTCCAGTATACACACAATACATATAATAAATCGCTTAGCACACCTTTATCTTGAAGGCATTCTTTTAAGGTAAACCCGTTTGAAGGAATTTTCATTTAATTCTGGTATTAATAAGTCATTTTGGATATATTTTTAAATAACTTAACTTATGAAAGGTTTAACTAACTGAACAGTTTCTTGGTTTCTTACATAATCAAATTAATTCTTGAGGACCATTAATGCACTGTAGATTGCGAAAACAATTTTTATTGACTTAAACCCACGGAGAAGTGCATTTCCAGTGCGACTTGCACTGAACACAGACTTACTTACATTTCATTTGTGGCCACAATTAACGAATGCTGATTGTGTGCTCTGCCGGCGGTTATCTACATTTGTCGGTGTTTGCTCAGCCCACTGCGATAAGCGATTTCTTTTCGCCCTGCCTCTCATTTTCCCAGCCCTCTGTGTGTCTCCAAAACTAGCCGGCACTACCGTCCACTACTCCTCCGCACGAGGCGCGTGACGAACAAAAATAAAAAAGAACCGACATAATGGGACGAACAACAAGAATTGTCACCTAGTATTCAGTACATATCCCTCCTAATGTCCCTATCTACTCGTACCTCTGCTCATCGAGTGGCCACAACCCCTAGCCTAACCTTATGATGTCATGTTGGGGGAGGAACTAAAGCAACCCACTGCCACCTTACAACATCGGAACTCGCACCTCGGTTCCTGCTAATGTCCATATCTTCTTTTTGACATGCTATTGTCCTATCGTTTTATTTATATACTCAAGTGCTTCCGATGCCACTGAATTAGGTGCACAGGAAACTGCTATCTAAAAATAATAACATTGTAACTAATATGTTTCATTGGTATAACCGAAAATTCCAAATGGTACTATCCATATTTACTTGCCAGCTAGAGACACTGAAACAACAACAAAACAAGCAGTAAGTGTCCTTGCCAATATCCCTATCTACTTGTTATAATATGTATTCTGCTTATTTAATGACCATAATGCGCATCTATCTGATCCATGACGACATCTCTGGATAAGTAATAAATAGCAGAACTACTGTCCTACTTAAAGCCGAGTGCAAACGCTCTAAATTAGTCACCCACAGTGGCAGACACTCACTGAACTTACTACGTGAACTCATAGTGTGATTCAAATGATTCAAGAAGTGATTACGACATAATCGTGCGTAATACACAGAAAAAATGATGGTACACAAACGGTTGCTTTAAATTTGTTTATTAATTACGTTATTAACAATTTTTATTTAATCCTGGCACTTAACTGAATTTGTAAAGCTTACATTGTTATAAAATTAAATAGCAAGTCGTTGAATCGTTTCTTACTTATCTAATAATATGTCTATAAAAAATGCAGGAAATGCGAAAAAATATGGGTCAGTTTTTATCAATATTATTTGAAAAGTGTGTAGATCATAAATAAGATATAAGCACTCCCTGAAATCCTATAAAATCACTCAGATCAATTGGCAGCAAAAGAAATCGGTTTAAATCCATCGAGTGAATCGTAAATCACCGAAAAGTCACTTTGATTTGATAAACCACTGAAGTGACGTTCAATGCATCAAATATGGATTAGCTTAGATTTCCGTATTGCCCGATAACTCCTTATGGGCAATACGTAATATTAAGCGTTTGCCGGAGAGTGAGTGTTGGTGATTCTTCTACGTGTACCCCAGGTACATACTACCAACAATGGTTAGCGGCGCTCTGCTCTGCCCTCCGCTGATTGTGTTCTGCGCTTGATAACGTATTTAATTTATTATTATGACGGTGCGCACACACACACACACACAGCAATTTCCATACACCAGTATATACAATATGGGCAGGTGTACCTGACCGATTCCTATGGAGCTTAGTGTACCGGCGACCGTCTTCGTAGCTCGAAGCACGAGAGGAAAAGTCAGAGAACTCGCGTAAAAAATCGAAACGAATCGAATCGAAAACGTGCACCGAATCACAGCGAAAAATATACGAAAAAAAAAACACGAATAATAAATAGAAAAAAAATAAAACGAAAAGGCGCGATTATGGACTGGTGAGCGGGCGGGGTGGTTTTCGCGGGGGAGGGGGGGTGGAGCGAAAAACAAAACAAATCACAACCCATTGGCAATGACTGTAATTCACAACACCTGAAACGATCACCTGTGAACTGCGGATTTCCCATTCATTCAGCCCTGCGATGGACTTTGACATTGACTATGCACAGTGCACAGACAAAAATATTTAATGCGACAACAGCATCGTTTAAGACCTGATATAAATTATATATCATATATCAAACATGGATCATACAATTGTGAAAGTTTTGCTAATTGTCTTTAGTTGAGGAACATTTTTCAAGCAACGATCTATGTGATTTTTTGTATTACGATACTATAGGCACAAATACAATTAAGTTAAAAACCCTTAAAATGCCTAGAAAATTAAATACTAATCTACTAAAAATTGGTTTAAAAAAATTTAAAGTGTTTCCCTTTTTTTTCTGTCACAGATTTCTAGTTAATAAAGCCATGCGCAATATCAATATGATATTATGTCATTTTATTCGGATAATCCCAAGATATGCCCATTTTTTTTCGTGTGTGATTGGTGTAGTTACTTTAATTGACTTCTAGGCCAGTCTAGAGACGTGCTAATTAATGGGCCCTGGCATATAAGAGAAGTGAGAACCGAAAAGAGCTGGCCTGAACTATTAACTTGGCTAATGGAACAGCTTCTCGAGTGGCCAAGTGTCCAAGTGCGTTGACGATGTGACTCAGGGCAGGTGCTTACGATTAGATTTACCTGTACTTAAAGCTTCTCATCGGTGCTTTGGAATTGTCCCCGGGAACAATGTGCCGCGGCAATTAACCAGTCTATCAGCAATGGCATCGCACACTACAGTGGTTATCGCCTGCAAATAGTTTGTAAATCAGAGTTATTTTTTCCCGTTAAACGTTATATATTTAGTGCAATCGTTGATAGATTATCTATTGATTTAACACCACTTGAAACTCTTGTTTTTCCGTATGATATTTTGTCTTTGCTTATAAGTGAACTGTTTGCACTTTCGTTTATTCCCTTAACCCATATATCCACTGTATTCGATTTTGTGCACTGCCCTGCAATCGTTGGAGCGTTGCATTCATTTTCATTTTCTCGCAGTTAGTTGCGAAAAAGTATAAAAATAAAGAAGAAAACAAACAAAACCAGCAAATGAAAAGCGCCATATAATAGTACTATTGTTGAAATTATTGCACCGAGCCCAGTCAGTCAGTCACTCAGACAGTCAGTCCGAATTTGTTGTTTATATAAGAGCGGTAGAGGACCGGACCGGTTATCGCCAGCGATCCAAGTTCATTACGCCCCCAACAACAGAGCTCGTGCTCCCGGGCCGGGCGGGCTATCTGAGGCTTGGTCTCTCCGGAATTGTCGTTGAACCGCCTCCTCCGGCCGTATGATTCATTCACATTGGCAAACTCGATCGCGGATCACTCGGTGATAAGCACACCACGGGTGTCATTGTTGATGTTGTTTTGGGGTTTTCTCTGCGTTTGTCACTGCTGGAGAACTCCAGTTGAGGCTCGGATCGGGCGGGATCTCAAAACCAAGCGATTGAGTAAGTCCAAATAAGACTGGTTTTGCTGACGAACGGCAAATGCGATTATCTAGGATTTCGCAGTTCCCGAAGGCCTTCGCTTATCGTCAACGGATTGTAAATAGTGCTCGTACTCAAGAGTACTCGTACGCTTGTCCCCGTAGCCATTTTCTCCGGGTGAAGAGTGTCTTTATCTGGCTGGCTGAAGTGCCACAATAGTCGGCCCAACTACAGTGGAAATCTGTTAAGGCGGAGCCAAATAAATGTAATATTTATAGGAAAAACATTAAAATTAAATCTCTGTTTAAGCACAAAGTTCCTGTAAAAGATGTAATCTGTTAAATTTAAGGAGTTTTTTTTAATGCAATTTTTTACATATCCATGCATTGTTTGTAGAAATAACCCTTAAAGTTACTAATCTAAATGTTAGGACTTAGTTTTTTGTATTAAGTCGAGATCTTTTTTAATACAAAATCTGTCTGTTTAAAAATGCCAGTTATCTCGCCAAAGCCAAATATATATATATATTAACTTAAGAGGAAGTATTTTTGCGAAAGTTTAAATGTGTAAACAAGATAATTACAGCTTGAAGTTTAAGGACGTACCATACGAATGGAATTTAAACGATAAGCAACGTTTGAGTATATTTTTGAAAACCAGGGTGACTGTTGAGCGGTATGATACTGCGAGACTTTCCAAGAAGCAGAAATTCAGAAATAAATACCTAGAGAATGGCAATTATTCCATTCTTAGAACCTAGCCCTCGATATTCTCTTATCAACGCACTGCCCAACCTCCCAAATTTCCGGGGTTCCTGCCCACAATTTGTGGATAAATCGATATGGGGCGTGAGTAACTTTATGTGGGCCCTTGCATCGGAAAACGCCCCAGACACACTGGTCGACACTCCCGTGGGATATTTGAATCCATGGAAAATTTCGCTGGCATTAGTGTTCCGCTGGTCAGCGGTTTTCTTCATTTTTCCTTGGGTCAGTGTGGGCTGAAGTCCAACCAACCACATGAATCACGCAAGTTCAAATGATAAGTGTCTGAGTTTCCGACTTTACTCTGTCATTCTCCTTTTGTTTAACTTCCTCACCCGGCATTCGTCACTTTCCTAAAGGTTCGTTGTGTGTTCTATAGGGGTTCTATATATATAAATATATGTATATATATTGTATTTATGAATTGATTTGCTTATTCTCTCTCGAGAGTTTTGGTGAATTCAATTTTATTTGATTATTTCTTGACAATCAGCAGTCGCTGGTTTCTATTGCTTGTAGATGGCACACTAAATTTGTTTTAATTGATAATTTTATTTGACAGGCGGGGGGTGGCATTATTCGGCTAAGGGTAAGAAATGCGAGTCAATCATGCATTGCCCAACGGATAATGTATATATATTGGACAATTTATTGATTACTGATCGATGATAATGAAGAACGCGAGTCCTTATCGCTAATTTGATTTTGGGCTATCTTTTGAATGCACTCAAAAGTGTCATTCAAAGACTGAATTATCTAAACATTTTCTGGTATCCCCAGGTTCGACTATTATACTCATTTGCTTGCTCATTTTTCTTTTTTTAAATACTTCTAATCATCTCACGCTTAGTCATTAAGAATAGAACAAGCAAATGGATACATTTGCAAAAACAATATCATTCGGATATCGATGGGCACTTTGCATACACAAATTTATAATGAATGATATAAATAAGTATATGGAAGTTGCTCAAATGATCAGACGTTATCTGCGTGGCCAACCGAAAATACAGCCAGAATTTCGAGGGCATCAGCGCCACCAGTAATGCGAATGAAAATTTAAAAAGTGTAGCAATTGTTATCAAAATCATTGGCATTTGAACTCGCTCAATTGCTTCACAAATTATTATACGGGCTTTATGGTGGAGAATCTGTTTGGAGAATATAAAGAAAGCTGACTGGCTGGTTGGCTGGCTGGTAATATGATCAATGGATATGGGCCGCCAGGCACGCGATTGCTAATGATTAGCATGTTTTAATGGCGGTTACATGGAACGCCCATTCACTCGGTTCTAATTCAATCATATAACGAAAAATGTGACCGATGTGAAAGGTTAAAAAAATTAAGCACCGCATGGTCGGCACTAATTAATTTTAAATGCCAGATTGCGAGTCGCAGAAGAGAGATGCCAATTTTCATTGGCATTTTAGTTTTGTTTGTTTTTTTTCGAAATGGAAAACATTTAAAAACACCGGAAAGTAGAGGTTGTGAAATTTTAAAAAGCTTTTTTATAATCACTAAGAAATACAAAACTCGAAAATTCCGTTGGTGTTGGTTTTCGTTTTTCGAAAAATGAAATTCATTTAAAACGTTTTTTTTAACATACTTAAAATTTGATTTTTATTCTTATTCTATGTAAAGTTTTAGTTAAAAATCTGTATTTTAACCGCCTTTTTATCTTTTATTATAATTATTCAATCCTATTCCCCATAATTTCGACAACACTAGTGCAAGTGACTAAAATTTCGCATTATTTTTGTTCCATTCACAGAAATGTCTGACCAGGAAACAGAGCTGAGAGTCTTAAATGCAAGCAAGCCAGCGGCAGCAACCAAGTCCAAGTTCACCAACAGCTGAAGAGGAAGGGAGGAGCAAACGCCACCGCACGCCCAGGAGCTGATAGAGGATTCGGAGCACAGCTTATCGAGCCGGGTTGCCTGTGCCTGGGTCAACTTCTGTTCCGCTCAGTAGTCCGCTCAATCGCAAAGATTTAAGCACAAACAACGTACAGAAACTATACATTTGCAACTGACTCATTCACAGTTTGAGTTGGAGAACGAACGAACGAACGAACAAACTAACAAAATAAGGCGTATAATTGAAAGGATTACGGATAACCAATTACGACGGATACGCCGCAGCACAAGTCTACTTAAGGCAGGAGGACTATAGCCATTTAAGATACGATACTACACTCTACCACATCATACACCACACACCGCACACAACAAGATGAACTCCACCACAAAGCATCTGCTGCACTGCATACTGCTCATCACTGTGATAGTCACCTTCGAAGTATTCTCCGGCGGTATTAAGATTGACGAGAACTCGTTCACGCTCGTGGATCCATGGATTGCATACGGCCAAGTGGCCACGGTTCTGTTGTACTTACTGCGCTTTCTCACGCTCCTCACGCTGCCCCAAGTGTTGTTCAACTTTTGCGGCCTGGTCTTTTACAATGCCTTTCCCGAGAAGGTCGTCCTCAAGGGCAGCCCGCTGCTGGCGCCCTTCATCTGCATCCGTGTGGTCACGCGCGGCGATTTCCCGGACCTGGTGAAGACGAATGTCCTGCGGAACATGAACACCTGCCTGGACACCGGACTGGAGAACTTTCTCATCGAAGTGGTCACGGACAAGGCGGTGAATTTGGCACAACATCGACGCATCCGTGAGATTGTGGTGCCCAAGGAGTACAAAACGCGAACGGGGGCGCTCTTCAAGTCGCGGGCACTGCAATATTGTTTGGAGGATAATGTCAATCTGTTGAACGACAGCGATTGGGTTGTCCACCTGGACGAGGAGACGCTGGTCACGGAGAACTCAGTGCGAGGCATCATTAACTTTGTGCTGGATGGCAAGCATCCGTTTGGCCAGGGACTGATCACCTATGCCAACGAGAACGTGGTCAACTGGCTGACCACGCTGGCGGACAGCTTTCGGGTCTCCGATGACATGGGCAAACTGCGGCTGCAGTTCAAGCTCTTCCACAAGCCGCTGTTCAGCTGGAAGGGCAGCTATGTGGTCACCCAGGTCGGTTATTATTCCCCATCCACCCCTCATTATTATCCCCTTTGTGGCAAGGAAAATGAGTGGGCTCTTGGGGAATTCTATGAACTTTCCCATGGGTCTTCTATCACGATTGACAGCTCCCTAAGCCCCCAAAACAAAGTGCGATATAATTCTAGCACTTACCAAATGAAGGGGAAATTCTGGGCTTGGAAGGGGTTAATTGACTTGTGTTTTTGTTCTATGCACTTAAACCAGAATGTACATTTTATCTACTGCTTTCTGTAGTTTTATTTTTACTTGCATAACGAGCAGCAAAGTCAAGTCATTTCTGGTCGTCAATTTTCTGTTATCAACACACTTGAAGAACCCTATTATAAAAAGTTGTTTTATGTCGCAATCAATTCCTAGAACTACGGAATGTTTAATCAAACAACTCATTGTTTTTTTTTTTTTTTTTTTTGTTTAAATTCCAACAATAAGTTTTATACTTTTGATTTATGAACTATACTATAATTCAGACACCCTTGGTTTTTAAGATGTGAGTTATTTTGAATTGAAACATTTTCATTTTATTATAAGTCACTTGAAATTGTTTATGGATTATTTAGAGGGTTATTCAAACTTCTTTCTTTTAGTTATTGCTTACAGTTAGAATAACAATATAGAATGTTTTTCTTGGCCACAAATCGACCCAAATCATTGCATTTCCTTGTTTCCTTTCAAATGAAACATACTAATACCCTGTACTTTTTTCTGCAGGTGGGTGCCGAGCGTTCGGTGTCCTTTGACAACGGAATCGATGGCTCGGTGGCCGAGGACTGCTTCTTCGCGATGCGGGCCTTCAGCCAGGGATACACGTTCGACTTCATCGAGGGCGAGATGTACGAGAAGTCGCCGTTCACGCTGCTCGACTTCCTGCAGCAGCGGAAGCGATGGCTGCAGGGCATCCTGCTGGTGGTGCACTCCAAGATGATACCCTTCAAGCACAAGCTGCTGTTGGGAATCAGTGTCTACTCGTGGGTCACCATGCCGTTGTCCACGTCGAACATCATCTTTGCGGCACTGTATCCCATTCCCTGCCCGAATCTGGTGGACTTTGTGTGCGCCTTCATTGCGGCCATTAACATCTATATGTACGTGTTCGGCGTAATCAAGTCCTTTTCGCTGTACCGCTTCGGATTGCTCCGATTCCTGGCCTGCGTGCTGGGTGCGGTGTGCACGATACCCGTGAATGTGGTCATCGAGAATGTGGCCGTCATTTGGGGTCTGGTGGGCAAGAAGCACAAGTTCTACGTGGTGCAGAAGGATGTGCGCGTGCTGGAGACTGTCTAGGATATTGTGGAACTGGAGAGGTGGGGAGGGAGTCATCAAGTAGTCATGGCCATCATATCGCTCTAAAACTAAATCCTTTCAACATCCCTAAAAAACCAAATGAAACAAAGCTAAAAACGAAAGAAATGTCGCACAATTTGGCCAGGTCCAGTGTGTTGTCCTGTCACTATCTGATTGATCTACTTTATTTGTACATTTTCTAAGCATAAGACTACTCACCCCCACATAAACCTGCACAGCACACAACCGCACACACGCATACAATTGTTGTTTCGTTCTAAAAATCATGATCATTCATAATACCTATTGCCAAAAATGAAGGAAATAAATCAGAGAATAGAAGGTTATTAAAACGCAAAGGAACAAATGTTATAGACAATGTCTTGAAACGAAATCGTTGAAAGTGCACCACTCACCGGCAGTAACAAAATACCAACAGCAATTTGGGGAATTATACCGATCCAAGAAGCACACACAACACACAAAAACTCTCCATTAAGTGTAATTTCATTATAAATATATTTTTTTGTATAGTCTGTAGTGAAAAAAATGCGCTATATTTATATAAATATAAATATTGTATGTATATTGTGTAGATTTATTATTATGATTACGATTATTTAAAAACATGTACATTAATGTATTGTAAATTAGTAATCTGTTAATTGTCATTCACACCGAAACCAAGGATAAAAGAAAAGCGAAGCAAACTTCATTGTTTAGACTTATGTACTTACATACATGTGCAATTATCGATGTACTTTGTGTAATTGTTTGACCTATGTAAATATGTCATTCACTCCAAAGCTTATACCCGTAGGCCCAGCGGATAAAGATCGGAATTTGTCCGTTTGCATTGGGAAGTCGTCCGTTCCGTTCACTGCAGGAAAATCGATTGTGGTGTGAATGATATGATCGTGATTAGTGAAAGAGGTCCTGGATCATCTTCATCTCAGGGCCCCCGTCGAATTTCTCTGTTCTTCTTTTAATTCGTAGTACTCTGTTTTTAGTTATCAGTTACCATTTTTCTTTTTGTTTTTCTCTTTTCGTCATTCTGTTTAACTGTTATCGGTGCTTTGAGAATCACACCCAAAAACTCACAATTCCCAAAAATATGGAACACGTGCATTGCAATCACCTCGTAAATCCCAAAAGAGCGCAAAAAAAGGATGTCGCACACACACAAACACCACACTCACACACACACACACACACACACATTAAACTGTTATGAAAAAAGAACCAAATACAAAAACAATAATAAAATGTCAAAAATATAATTACTTGCCATCTTTTTATTGGGGCTTTTGGGGGCTATTACCCAGATAAAATGTGTGTTTTACACAAACGCCCTTAAAAAAAAGAAAACAATATTATTTAATCATTTTTCCAGACTCTTTTTTTTAAGAGCTTTTGATAATGCATCCTTACATATATATATTTTTTTTGAAAACAAAAGTTGCCCATCTATTGATATTCTGTCTTAATTAAAAGAACATTTAGATCACACTTATACACATACTTATACGTTATATTTAATTCGGGCAAAGATTATTAATGCTAAGATCTAATAAAAAAAGTTGTATTCATAAAAAAAATATATATATCCTCAAGAAATTAGTTCCACTGTATACAAAACATATATTTTGGTAGATCTCCGTATACATAATATACCCATCTCTCTCGTAATTGTGCAAACGCTGCAAAATATAGTCCTTTTCCTTTTAAAATAGTACACAAACTAGAAGGTTATATTACTAGACTTGCCTTTTAATGAGAAGTGCAGAATTCCTACGTACTTCTTACAAAACAAAAAATTATATATATATATATAAGTGTGTATGGGGAACAGGACCAACAGCTTGGCTTAAATAAATAGGTAAAAATTATGCGATGATTTCTAACTGAATGGATGGGATTCTGCCAAGTTACCAGCACGTTGCAGTCGAAAATCTATTTAGATCACCCAAAAATGAAGTGGTGCAGATTATTGGATGCTACTATATTGTTAATTACTATAAAACATCGATAAGAAATACAGTCTTGGTTGGAATATGGATTCTGGCAATAACATACACGTATGAAAAAAAGACTATGATATAGCTACTTGGGGAGTCCTTCCTGCGGCCGGTCCACTTGCGTTTCCCAGTTCTGCCCATCCACATCCAGATAAGTGGTGCTTGCATTTCGTTTCCTTGCCATATCAAAAGAACTTCCGCCTGGGCGTGGCAAACGCTAATCCCGACATTCTGTAAATCGAAGACAAATACTTGCATTGCTTGCGTACAATATAAATTATTCTTGCCCACTTTGTTAGCTTGCACCCATCGAAGTCCTCCAATGCGCCGTTCCCACTGGTGACCGGCGTGGATTGGTTCTTCTGATCGAGCTGCGATTGCTGTGGCGAGTCCACCGCCTGGCTGACCATATCGGACGTGGAGAACGCAGCCACGTTCTCCTTGGCCGACTTCTCGTCGGGCTCACCCCCACCAGCATTGTCGGGCTCATCATCTTCAGCATCGTCGGGCTCATCATCCTCAGCATTGTCGGGCTCATCATCCTCAGCATTGTCGGCCATTTCAATGTCCTCCTCGTCGTTCTCCTTAATTTCCATAGACATTATTGAATGGCTATCGTCACCCTTGGCGTTTTCCGGCGGCGGCTGCTGGCCAAGATTGATCGGATTGTGGCAGCGCCCCTTGCAAACGCAGCCCTCGACGCATACAATGCTGCCCACAAAACAACCACATCGCCTGGAGTTGCACTTTTTGCGACACCTGCAGCCCCTGCCGCGTTTGCCGTCTTCCGAGACCTGTGTGGAGTTCAGTGATTGGGTGGATGCATTCCCAGCCGACGTGGCACTGGCATCCTCCTGGTCATCTCTGGGCACCGTCGCCTGGGACTGCTGCTGCTGCGACAGATTGCGATTGGAGGTCGTCTGGCGTGTCTGACGTGAGGCCAAGAAATATATAAATCAAGTGCAAGTTTTAATTAATTTATTGAAGGAGGGGAATGAGCAAACCAAACCCACCTTGTATTTGGACGTTAAGGGCTTCCACTCGGGATCGCTGTCGCTGTCGAGAATGCTTAGTTCGTTGTCCTCTACCATTATCACACTTTCGTCGGCATCCAGGGGTTCAACTTTCGGTACCCTGACCTTCGACTTGGTATTGGCTTTGAGCGCGTCCAGCTCCTGCTGCAGTGCTTCTCGGCTGCTGAGCAGTTCCTCGAGGATCTGCTGGCGTTGCTGCTCCACCTCCGCTGGTGGCTGGCATCCGGCTGATCTCTGGTTGGCCGTCCTAATCAGAACGGCCACCTTCTCCTCGTAGGCGCGCTGTAGGGCCAGCATTTGCTCCTCATGCTCGACTTGGGCCAAACGGAGACGTGTGGTGGCAGCCAACTGCTGCTCCTGGGCCTCCAGCAGCTGCGAACGCTGCTCATCCAGGGCGGTGCGACCGAGCACCTGCTGGCGTCGCTGCTGCACCAAGGTCTTGAGCAGCTGCTTGTTTACAAGGCGCGACTCGCCAATGCTTTGGACACCCTCGGCCACGGAGCGAATGCGGCTATCCAGATCGGTGGGGCAGACCTTCTGCTGCAGATCGGCGATTTGGGCGTTGCGCATCTCGAGCTCCTCCTCGAGATTGGCTAGCAGGCGGGCCTGCGCCTGGGCCTCGGCCGGATCGTTGGGCCTCTCCTGCTGCATCATTTGATAGTGATTGTTGATCACTGCCCGGTCCTCCATCAGTTGCTCCAAACTGTGCTCCGCATCGATCAGTGAAAGTATGATCTCCACCTCCCGATCCACCCAACTGTCGGTCTTCATCGAGTGGACAGCACTGGAGCCAGAGCCTCCGTGATCCTTGGCGTATTTGTATCGCTGGGTCTGCGCCGAGGCCTGCCGTTCGAGGGCCTCCTTGAGGCGCTTGTTGGCCGCCAAGGCCTCATCGCACTTGCGCTTCAATACCTGCCGCTGCTTGGTGTGCAGCGTCTGCTGGCGCAAAATCTCCGACTGCATCTTGCGGTCCTTGCTCTTCAGCTGGGTGAGCTCCTTTTCGCGCAGCATCTTCCATTGGCGGAACTTCTCGGACTCGCCACGCATGGCCCGTATCAGTTTGACCTTGGACTCCTTCATGGCCCGGATCTCGCCGCTCAGATTCTGAATCTTCTCGCGCTCCTTTTCCCGCATCTTGAGCATGTTGGCCTGGGTGAGCAGCTTGCGCCGCAAATCGGAGATCTCTTGCTCCAACTGCTGCAGACGCTTGCGTCGCTCCTCGGCAATTTTGGCCGAGGTCTCCTTGCTCTTCATGTTGCGCAGTTGGTCCATGAGGTTACGCCGCTCTGCCTCCAGGTCATCGATCTTCTGGTTGCACTCACGCAGCTTGGCATCCTCGTTCCCGTCCTCCAGCTGGCTGTAGTTGCGAGTGATGCGCTCGTGCAGCTCCTGTTTGATATTCAGCTGGCGGTTGATGCTGCGCAGTTCGCCAGCGAAGTTCAGCTGCTTGTTGGTGAACTCCTCCGAGTGGGACTGCAGCATTTCGTTGGCTTCATCGCCGCCACTGCTGGGGCCGCCGTTCTCGTCCCTTTCGGAATGCGAGTGGCCACTGTCGGCAGTAGTGAGATGCTGCTGGTGGATTGTTTCCTGGTCCTGGGACTCCAGTTCCGCCTGGGTGCGCTGGAACTCGTTGTCCACTAGCTCTATCAGTTGGCTGATCTCCCGCTGTCGATCCTGGCCATCCGCATCTCCGTCTCCGTCCTGCTGCGGATCCAGTTTGCCCTTCAGCTGCAGCACTTGGCTGCGGATTTTATCGTGAGCCTGCTCGACGATGTGGGCACGCATCTCCTTCTCGGTGAGATCGACCAACGTGTGGTGTAGCTCCTGCTGCAGTTTCTTAATCTGATCCTTCTGGCTGCGCACTTGCTCCCTGAGCCGTTTAATCTCCGCAGCACTGGCCATGGAGCCAGCGAACGACTCATCGGTGGGTAGGGGCCCCAGACCGGCGTCTCCAACTGCACTGGATATGGAGCTGGTCATCTTGCCGCCCCCTAAAAGCTCTATACGCAGCTTCTGAATGATGTCCTTCAGTCTATTGACCTCCGCCGCATGCGGATCGACATTGACCACCGGCTTGTTCTTGATCTGCAGGGCCCGATCCGCGTAGCGCAGGGTGCTCAGCGTCTCGGCCACATTGTAGTCCGCCGGACTGACGCAGGCGATCATCAGGGTGATAGAGTTTCCGCCCAGGGAGTCCTGCAGCAAGCGCGTCAGCTTGGACTGGCGATAGGGTATGTAGCCAGCGGCCTGGTTAGCTGAAATGGGTATCGAGAATTAGTATCCAAAGGCCTGAGCTGTTCGAAATTAAAGGGGGCAATATAGTGATACAAAACCTGATATTTATTGCTCAATGATGATAAACTTAAGGAAAGTCTTTGTTAACAGTTATTTTGTTACAATTTTGTTTAACTCGAAAATTTGAAATTAAATATAAACGATTGTTTACTCCATAGAGAATATTAGATTAACATTTTTTTTATAAATCAATTCACCGAAAATCAAAGGATTAATAATTTTCATACAAATTAAGGACTAAGAATGAAAAATAAAACACAACCAAATGATTTTTATATAACTATATAAACAAAATATTAAATTTTTAATTCCATAAATAGTATCTGATAAAAATGTTGCATTTAATTAGTTCTCCAAAATAAAAAAAAAATAAAACAAAAATGAAAAAAATATATAAAAAAATAAAACGTGTTCTAAAAACAATATCAGCTTACAATGATAATTAAATAAAGAGTACAAATTTTAATAAAATCAATATGCCAAAAATGAAGGGATTCCTCCAACAACAAATAATGGAATGGAAAATAAAACCAAACGATAACTAATACTATAAACAATAACAAATTGGTTTAAATATATCTTAAAAGGTGGCTTCGAGAGCAATTTTAAAACCATCTTTTCAAAAAAAAAATCAAAAAACAATCTTTTCAGCTCGGTATCTGGATAGTGATTACTTACAACCCAAGGCGTTGATCACATTGCCCAAGGCCAACAGGCCTTTGTTGATATTGACGCCCTCCTTGAAGCGATCGCCACTGGCCAGAGTTTTGGAGCAGCGTTCCGAGCCCGCCAGATCCACCAGATTGAACCGGGATGTGGTGACCGATTGTCTACGGCAGAAACGGGGAAACATGAGTGATTAGGGATGCCCACGATTATGGCATTCGCCCCACATACTTGCCATCCAGCTTGGTGGCCTCCAGGGTCAATGTGAAGATGGCGTGCGATCGCGAGGATGTCTCATTCATGGCTGTGGCGGCCACAGCCCGTCCGGCGGAGCCGCGCATCAGGTGTTCGGTCACCTCCTGGGCGGACTTGACCTCCAGTTCTGTGAGGCCCGGCATGACCACCCGGTTCTTGACCTCTCTGATGTCCACCGTGGCCTTTTCGCGCTTTTGCGTCGAAAAGAGATCGTAGAACTGTTCCTGGTAGAGCTCCACAAAGGAGCAGGTGACCACAAAGCGGAATTCCTGACGCATTTCCTCAATGGCAAGGAATATGTTGTGAACGGCGCGTGGTATAACGCCCACATCATCGTCCAGCACTCCATTGAAGGCTGTGCCCATGGTATACGTTTTTCCGGAGCCCGTTTGGCCATAGGCTAGGATCGTCACGTTATAGCCGCTCAGAAACTTCTTCATTTTGGCTTCAACGCAGGACTCGAAGATATCCTTCTGGGAGTCCCCGCTGTCGAAGACATGATTGTATGTGTACGACTCAGTCCGGTTCACCGTAACCTGAGGTGATCCATCCGGCGACCGCTCCACCGCGATCCGGCAGCCGCGATCCAACTCCGATTGCACCAACGGACGCACGCGCAACGCCACGGCGACCGAACTGGGATCCTCGAAGGACATCTGGTGCGGGTGGGGGTGGGTATAAAAAGGATAACTTGTGTTGCTGCCATGAATGCTTGGCGCCATTTTCGTCAGCCACTCACCTTGTCACCAGAACAGCCGCTTTTGTTGTGATTCCGGTGTTTGGGGGGGCAAAAATGAAGGAATAGGACACCACTGGGAAACACTGGACTCGTCTAGATGGTCGCGATGGAACGAAACACGGTACTTTCAACAATTTTGATTTTAAGGGGCCTTATCTTCAAGGAATGCGACGCTAGCGGCTATCCTACAAATGCATTGCTGTCGGTATTTTCAAAAAATGGCGGAGATATCGATTGGTTGCAGTTATCGAATTGGGGCCCAGATGATTTGCTTTAGCGGCTTGTTTATCGCTACTATTCTAATTTCTTTTTTGGTTAATTTTGTTTTGGATAAAATAATAATGAAACTCATAAAATTCAAATGTTTTTTCAAATGGTAGTGTGAAAAAGAAAACCAAGCCAACTGTTTAAAAATTATGTTTTAGAGCCGAGCAACTACTTTGTTTTTTTTTTTCAATATATAAACTTTGCTTCGTTTTAAAATCTTGTTGAACTTATTCTTCTATTGCAAACAATAATTAAACATAATACAATAAATTGGCTTACATTTTTTTGATCACGGTATAGCTGCATGAAATCTTATTTAGGGTTTTGGAGCAAAATTCGTAAGAGTTCTTTTGTTATAACTTAGCCAAAACTAGACGTATGGCCATAACAGTGACTATTTTGTAAAGCTGGCGACCTATACTACCCATCCACATTCGGTTAACATAAATAAATTTTGTTTTGGTGCAAAAAAAGATTTTTAAAAATCAATTTTTTTAAGTAATTCATTTTATGGCCAAATTTTGCACTTTAGATAAGTTATTATTTTTTTTTTGAAAATTTGAAAATATGAAAAAAATTTTAACTGGGAACGCCATTTGACAGAGAATTTAATGACGAATTCACCGAGGTAATAGAAAAACTGATTTTTAAAGTTTTTTTTTTGTGTTTTTGAGACTTGTCAAAATAAGAAAATCCGTAAGAGTCCTTTTGTTGTAACTTGGCCAAAATTGGACGTATAGCCATAAAAGTGGCTGTTTTGTAAGGCTGGCGACCTATACTACCCATCCACAATCGAGGCAAAATCCGATTTGACCAATTTTTTGAAAAAATGTAAAAAACTGAAAAATTGTTCACTGTGAATGTGTTGAATGGAAATTTTATGATGAACTCAACTCAACCTTTGACAAAAATTTCCCAGGTGTTGTGATTCGAAACCCCATCTTTAAAAAGTGTTTGCAGTTTGGTTTCACTTGAGGTTTGTCAAAACAACGTCTTTTAGGCAAAATAGATAAATCAAGCTTTTTACCGCTAGCCTTTTTGAGGGGGCACCGCTATAAAGCTATCGATAAGTAGGTTCACAGCGCTGCGGTTTTATCGCATTTTTGAACAATCGCCACAGCCACAAACAAGTTGCGATTTTAGTTGATTTAAATTTAGAGGCAAAAAGAAAGAAGGAACAGGCTGCAGGACATGGAGAAAGTGGCGCCGCGTATCAAGGTGCTGGAGGAGGCGTTTGACGGCAATGGGAACGGATGCGGCAGCGTGGAAGCCACCCAATCGGCCATTTTGAAAGTGCTGACGCGGGTGAACCGCTTCCAGGTGCGCGCTCGCAAGCACATCGATGATAACTACGTGGAGTTCATGCCCAACCACACCTCGCCGGACACTTACCTGGAGGAGTCGGCCTCCCTGACCCGGGAGATCCACGATCTCCTGGAGACGGTGGGCTCCGAGGGCTTGGGCGCCCTGGAAGAGGCGAATGCCAAGTTGGCGGACAGCGGCAGGCAGCTGAGGGAGATCCTGTTGGGCCTGAGAGTCAGCGAGCATGTGCTCAAGATCGACGAATTGTTCCGGTGCGTGGAGGAGGCCAAGACTAGCAAGGATTTCCTGGTTACCCTGGACCTGGTGGGTCGTTTATGGGAGTTCATCTACGGCGACGACTCGTCGGTGGCCACGCCCGAGGTGCGACGCATCTTCAATACTCTCGATTGCTACGAGACATGCAAGGTGAAATATCATTGTCAGGCCTACCTGCTGGAGCAGAGCCTCCAAGAGCGCTTCGATCGGCTGGTGCAGCTGCAGTGCAAATCCTTTCCCACATCGCGCTGTGTCACGCTACAGGTGAGCCGGGATCAGGCGCAGCTGCAGGACATCGTGCAGGCCCTCTTCCAGGAGCACTACAATCCCGCACGCCTCTGTGAATTCCTGCTGGACAACTGCATCGAGCCGCTGATCCTTCGGCCGGTGATGGCCGAGTACAGCGAAGATGTCGACGGTGGCTCCCACGTCCGGCTATCGCTCTCGTACGCCACCAAGGAGCCCAGCTCTGCCCAGCTGCGTCCGAACTACAAACAGGTCTTGGATCACTTTCGACTGTTGCTGCAAACGCTGGCCGGCATCAACAGCAGTGTGTGCAGGGAGAAGCATGTGTTCAGCATCATTGGCGATCATGTCAAGGACAAGATGCTGCAGCTGCTGGTGGATGAGTGCCTGAAACCAGCCGTACCCGAGACCATGGAGGAGTATCAGTCCTCAACGCTGTGCGAAGATGTCACTCAGTTCGAGCAGCTGCTGGCGGACTCGTTCCTCATCAATCCCGAGCAGGATCGCGCACTGGGGCAATTTGTCGAGCAGTACGAGACCTACTATCGCAACCGACTGTTTAGTCGGGTTCTGGAAACGGCGCGCGAGATCATCCAGCGGGATCTGCAGGACATGGTGCTGGTGGCGCCCAACAACCTATCCACCGAAGTGGCCAGCGATCCCTTCCTCTTTCCACGCTGCATGATCTCCAAGAGTGCACAGGTAGGCCATGTAATGCCCCCAACTTTCAGTTTCCTAATACCCACTATTCATTTTAATATTTAAGGACTTTGTCAAACTGATGGACCGCGTCGTACGCCAACCAACCGAACAACAGGGCGAAGACGGAGCCGATCCTCTGGCCGGCATCTTGTCCGTCATGCTGCACACCTATATCAATGAAGTGCCCAAGGTGCACCGCAAACTGCTCGACAGTATTCCACAGCAGGCGGTGCTGTTCCACAACAATTGCTTGTACATGACCCACTGGGTGGCCCAGCATGCCGACAAGCGCATCGAAAGTATGGCGGCGCTGGCCAAAACGCTGCAGGTCACCGGCCAACAGCATTTCCGCGTGCAGGTCAACTACCAGGCCTCCATTTTGATGGATATCATGCAGGGCTTCGAGTTCGAGAGCCCGCACACGCTGGGCTCCAATCCGCTAAAGCTGGTGCGCCAGTGCCTCCGCCAGCTGGAGCTGCTTAAAAACGTGTGGGCCAATGTGCTCCCGGAGACGGTGTACAATGCAACCTTCTGCGAGCTGATCAACACCTTTGTCGCCGAGCTGATCCGCCGCGTGCTCACGTTGCGCGACATTTCCGCCACGATGGCCTGCGAGCTGAGCGACCTCATCGACGTGGTGCTGCAGCGGGCGCCCACCCTCTTCCGCGAGCCGAACGAAGTGGTCCAGGTCTTCAGCTGGCTGAAGCTGCAGCAGCTGAAGGCCATGATGAACGCCTCGCTCAAGGAGATCACGGAGCTGTGGTGCGACGGCGCTGGTCCGCTGACCGCCAGCTACAAGTCGGACGAGATCCGGCACCTCATCCGGGCGCTCTTCCAGGACACGGATCGTCGGGCCAAGGCCATGACCCAAATCGTTTAAGCTTCATACTAGAATGGATGGGTTTTTGGCCAAGAAGGAGTAGTGATGTGAGGAACCAAAATGAAATCGGAATTGATGAAATATCACTTTTGTAGATTATTATTATTACGATTATTTTTGCGAAGGAGGAGTAGTGATGTCAGGTGTCAACTTATTTTGCTTACAAAATGTGAATGTGAAATTGATTAAATATCGCTTTTGAAGATTATTATTAATACTATACTATAAACACCAAACACATATTGGAAAATATATTTTAAATCGGAAAATGAAATCAAAACTATGTATATATTTTGGACGAAGAGCGATTCATTTTAAGTAGCTACTGGATGGTTTTTTGGGGTTTTCAACTGTTAATAAGAACAAGTATTCAAAGAATACTTCCATCAACCACAAAATTCAAACCATCCGGCCCGCAAGACACTTTCTCAATTTTAAGATTTATTTAATTTAAATATAATAACAAAATCCCCTCCATTAGTTCGCCTCATGTCGTGCTTGGAGGAGCAGTAGGTACAGCTGCTCAGTGAGCAGTCTATGATCGCGACCATGGGTGACGGTGAGGATGCGCTGGGCCTCGTCCAAATGGTGCAGAGCCTCCTTGGCGTGGCCCTCGTACAGCTGGATTTTGCCCAGCTTCATGTGGAGAAGGCCGAGCAGCGGGTTCCAAGGTCCGTGGTATTTCCGGAAGCCCGGCAACAAGCGTTGCCCGTAATCCAGGGCATCCGTCCACTTTCCAACTTCGATGGCAGCTTCAAAGGCCGAGTCCAAGGTCTTTACATACCACACGTTCAAGGGATGGAGCACGCCCGTCTGCTTATCCAGGCACACCTTGCACACGTCCAGATCTGGCAGGGAATAAGGTATAACGAGAGATGCCTTAGTATACTTTCTATAGATATTTATCTATCTATCAAAGTTACTCACAGGCCACGTCCTTCATGTTCTCCAGATTGTGCTGTGTGAGGGCCATCGCTTCGTTGAAGGCGTTCCTGAGCTTGGGACTAATTCCTGCGTCGCAACGCTGACAGTTTGTGCGCTCCACATTGATGCCCACGCCGCAGTTGCGGTTGGGACACAGGGCGGACAGCATTTCCTTCGACTCCTTGGCATCCGTGCACTTGCTGCACACGCAGAGGAAATAGTAGTGCTCCTTGAGGTCCAGACGCCTCTGTTCCGGCGTATTGAGCAGATCGATGTAGCTGATGAAGATCTTGGACCAGTCCAGGCACTCCATGTCCTCGATCGCATGGACGTGCAGCTCGTTGCCCTCGAAGGTGGCCACCGCATTCGGCTGGCAGCTGTGGTCCGTTATCGAGACGCCCAAATATATGGCCGTGGCAATGGAGTTCATCTCGGCGTCCAAGATATTAAAGCCATTGGTGATGAGCTGCAGGAGGAGGGCAAAGAAAGAGCATTAGCATGTGCTTGAGCACCCGCATATCTGTGTGCCGGGGAATGTGAACCGTAGCCCTTCCTAGATGATCAATTGGCTGGCAGAGCGCCAGGCGATGACCATCGATTGCTATCTAATTTGGTCGACCAGGAGCGAAATTGCTTTTTAAGGGGAGCCCAAATCTAAAATAGGTACTTTTGCCATTGGTGCTAATTGTCTAAGTTACTAGTAAGCTTTAAGTTTTAAGCCTTTAGCTAGCTTTATATAAGTAAATATCTAAATGGTTAATTAAATAACGTATGAATACATTTAAATTGTTAACTAGAAATGGGTATATACAAATTGCCCACCACTTATTTCTCTTTAATAAGTTGGATTATATAAAAAAAATGCAATATGGCATATTTAAATTGTAAGATAAAATAGAAGTAGGTTGGACATCACCTATGCCTGTTTTATATGAGGTTTATATAAAAATATAAAAGTTTTAAAAGTGTTATGTACCTCTGGAAAATATGTAATTGCTAATCTTGGCAGGAAGATTAAAACTAGACCATATACACCTACATGTGCGCCCCCAATCCGCTCCTGGTTTCTGGCACAGGTGTCTGTCCACTTACGCGACCGTAGATGCTCATCAGTTCCGTCTTGTTTGGCACCGTGCTGGGACTGTCGGCCATCATGTCCGTGAGGACGGCGTGCAGGGAATCCAGGTGTTCCAGTCTCATCGGATCGTTCTTAATTTCGGCGTAATCTGTTGGGTGTTTATACAGAGATTAGCGAGAATTTGATGAGAGAATCGCACACTGCACACTGCACACTCACGGGACATGAGATCGCGGAATTTGCGGGAGCCGTGCTCGGTGTAATAACCCCGGATTAGATCCCCACCGTGCTCGAGACGCAGGATCAAGCGGCAGAGCATCCGGGCAGCATCGGGCACGATTCTGGGATGCACCTTCTTCAGAAAGGGACACTCGTGCTTGTGCTGGGCCCAAGCTTGCATTTGGCAGGAGCGGTTGCAGTAGGACACGTAGCGGCAGTTGGAGCACTTGAGCACCTTGGTCCTGCATGGGAATAGGAATGGGAAGAAGGATTAGAAATGGGAGCCGGAGGAATCGCCACTTGGTCAAACTCACGCCTCAAGGCAATTATCGCAGCGCTCCAGGCGATACTGCGACTTCAGGACGAAGGCAAAGGGCTTCTCTGTGAGAATCCGCTGACCCCTTTTGATTTGCGGAGCTGCATTCTTTACGCTTTTTGATTTCAATGAGCATATGGATTTGGATGAACTGGCAGTGGATCCATATTTTTCCATTTCGCCGGAGCAAAAAAAGAAACACCTTCTTTGACTTTCGCCTGGGGGCCCGTCTCACTGGCGACTGAAAATGAGCGCACACCTGAAGATCAAAAATATTGTTTCTGCTTTTCGAATGCTTTTTGAATATTTTGCGGCATCTGATTCCTATTTTTAGCCAAAAAAACAAACACAATTTACGCAAATCGCTGGCAAACACACAAAAGCAACAACAGTTTTTTTTTGTTTTTCGTATGCACACGTTGGCGTTGCCAGACCGTCAAGGGGGTCATGCTCCCTACAGTGGACACTGAATATCGTAAACGGAGTATGGGTATTTCAATTCAATTCAGTTTTTTTCAATGTCATTTAAAATGCACCCAAAGTAAATATTTACTAGAAAAATTAATTATATTTGTATTTATTAAATTTATGACAAATTAATATTTGCAATTTATAGAATTTTGTAATATGCTTTATTTAATCTTTGGCTGAGATGTCACTAATCTATACATTACTGTTCTCATTTAGCACAACTGCCCTAATTTTGTAAACAGTTTAATAAATTATCATCTTTTAAAATAGTAAATGACACCACTGTACCATTTAAAATGAGGGAGATAGCTATATTGCCAGCACCTAAACAGATAGGGTTATTATTTATTTATATATTAAAACTCATCCTATTTTTATATTTTTTGATTTTTGGTGTTATGATTCTTAATTATAAGGAATAGGGACGCCCCCCGATACAAAATCCTTCATATACATCAATAGCAAATTCTTTTTTATCGGTGCCCCTGGGGGCAGTTTTTACGATTTATTTGTATAGCAAACTTATATAGCATAGGGACATGTTGTGTGATCGGTCCGTACGAACTCCTATAAGCAGTAAACGCGGGCATTGGGATCGGGAACGAGAGCGACGGGGACTAACTAATTGTTCTGAGGCTTGGACCACTCCACACTGAGGATCAGATGGTCGTAGCCGTGCCCGTTGAGGATCTCGATGGCGGCGGCCGCATCCTTGCGCTGCTTGAAGTGCACGTAGGCGAATCCCTTGCACAGGCCGGTGTTCTTGTCGCGCGCCAAATACATCTTGCTCTGCGGCCCGATCTTCTTGACCAGCTCCTCCAGATCCGCCTCGGTCATCGACTCCGACAGATTGGAGATCCGGATGGCGGCCGTATCGTCGCGCCCGCGCATTCCCAGTCCGCCCTTTTGGCTGTCCTTCAGGAACGGCGGCACATACTTTCCGGACTTGGGGGCATCCACGGCAGCCGCTGCGGCGGCGGTGGCCTTCTTCTCCATCATATTGGTGTCCATCGCCGTGCCCTTGTACGGACAGTTGACCGACCAATGCTCACCATTGCAGATGCGGCACTTGGCAATGTTCTTGGTGGGATCCAGCAGCGGATCGTTGGCCTTCTCGTCCTCCTTGGAGTTGAGGAACTGCATGATGATCTCCTCGGACACCATGGTCGTCTGCGAGTTGGGTCCCGGCTTGTCGTTCTTCGACTCGCCGAACTTTGTCCAGGTGCGGCGCTTGGCCACCGTTTTGGGGACCACCTGCTTGGAGATCTTGTACGTCCGCACCACCTTGGACTTCTTGTCGTCCTTGTTGTACTTGTACTCGGTCACATACTTGTGTCCGTTCTCCACCGTTTCCGTGGTCGGGGGCAGTCCGCCATAGTCGAGCTCCACCTCATCCGCCCAGGAGGATTTGATCGTTTCAACGCCCGGCATCTGAAAAGGTTTGTTTGGTTCGTGGTTAGTGGGGCTGCAATGGGGGTTGCGTTCAGCACACTCACTTTGTTTTGCACTGCGAATTGTCAGCGAATTGTTAGCAAATTTCGCCACGAGTTTCGTTGCGATTGGAAGCAGCAACACGAAAAGAACTATCGATTGCCCTATCGATTGTTTGATCGATGTTTCAGGGATGGAGAGCTTCCGAAGTTAGTGTACCCCAACATTCGATAACGGGGTATCGAAAGAGCAGTGTTGCCTTCGATGACAGCTTCATTGCACCCCCATTGTTATCGTTTTAAGCTTTGGCACTAAATTTAATAAATATATAACAATATGTAATTTTATTTTTTATTCAATATTTTCTCACCCCTATAATAAATATTTGTTTCATTTTCTACGTATACAAAATTTTTAGGGTATTCCCCATCGCTGAATTGTAAAAAATCCAAAGGATAAGTTCGGCATTGTCGGAATTGTCAAACAGTCAATATCAGATTATTATTATTTTTAAATTAGACCAGTTTCTTAAAAACTGAGTATTCTGGCCTAGAATTAAAAAACAAATTTATTTTTCAAAACCGATAATGGGAAATCCTTTTTAATCTTCTTTGGCAACACCTTAATTTTCCTGTTTTTTATTTATTGTTAGCTACGGACTAGCAAGTTACAAGCGAAATATCTTACATTCAAAACTTTAAATATAATAAGGTTAAATTAAAACTACAAAACTTGAGAATTTGAGATTAATTTCAGCGGCGTTTCAAACCCATAAATATGTCTGACCATTTTATTCCCACTATTGTGGTATTTTCGCAGTGCCTCCGATCTGGCCACTCTGTCCATCTCTTCTTCTTGCCATCGCATCCGCTTTCTGTTCTTTTTCCTCGTGGTTTTCGACTGACAAGATGGCTCCAACCGTAAGTGCTCCGCCCAAGAGCTCCCGATTCCCTGGTCAAAGTGGGCTCCCTGCTCGTAGTTGTGTAATGCCAATGGCCAGTGACAAGGAGTGAATAATCACCCGTAATCCTCAGTGGCCAGCTAATTAATGAGTGTACTTTTTTTCTGATTTTTTTTTCGGTGTTGCTTCCATAACCGCCATGTTGTCCCGAACAGGCCAAGACCAACAAGGGTGATACCAAGGCCGCTGCTGCCAAGCCGGCTGAGAAGAAGGCTGCTCCCGCCGCCGCCGCTGCCAAGGGCAAGGTGGAGAAGCCGAAGGCTGAGGCTGCCAAGCCCGCCGCCGCCGCGGCCAAGAATGTGAAGAAGGCACCCGAGGTGGCCAAGGCGGCCGCCGCCGCTGCTGCCAAGCCAGCAGCAGCCAAGCCCGCTGCCGCTGCCAAGCCGGCCGCCGCCAAGGATGCCGGAAAGAAGGCTCCTGCCGCCGCCGCCGCTCCCAAGAAGGAGGCCGCCAAGGCTGCCGCTCCGGCTGCCGGAAAGGCTGCTCCAGCCAAGAAGGCCGCTTCCACCCCGGCTGCCGCTCCTCCGGCCAAGAAGGTTGCTCCCGCCAAGGCTGCTGCTGCCGCTCCGGTCGCTGCTGCTGCTGCCGCTCCGGCTGCAGCTGCTCCAGCCGCCGCTGCCAAGCCTGCTGCCAAGCCCAAGGCCAAGACCGCTGCTCCCGCTCCCAGCAAGGTGGTCAAGAAGAACGTGCTCCGCGGCAAGGGACAGAAGAAGAAGAAGGTTTCGCTGCGCTTCACCATCGACTGCACCAACATTGCTGAGGACAGCATCATGGATGTGGCCGACTTCGTAAGTAGCTGGGCGGGATTCCCCCATGCAAACAAGAAAAAAGCACCTCCCAAAATCAGGGCATATTCGGTTTTTGCTTTCGAGGTGTTCCGAGCAGAGATTCATCTCTAAAGACTCTAAATCTATCACAAAGTTGGCTAAAAGTAAGCTTTTAACAGCTGACTAATTTTTCCTCGTAATCAAAAACGATCTATTGCAAATTATAAATTTTACGCTGTAAGATGTATATAAAACATTGCATACTTTTAGACAGCCAAGTTTCAGATTTCAGATCACTAGAGACTGACTTCTTCATAACCTTAAAAGCCTGCCAAATCCTGAAAGCAATAACCGGCATAGAGCCTCAAAAACCAGTATCAGTTTACCGCACCAAGCTTTCCATTGTCCTCCAAGTTAACCAGGGGCTCTGGATAAAAAGTTGTGGTTACAGTGAAGCCTCTCCATTTGGCGATAAACTGCTGGCGGACTTAACCCGTGCCGCCGGTGGTTAACAACTTCTGGAACAGCACTAACTGTAGATCATGATCGTAGCGTATTAGCATATTAAGATAAAACTAAATATATGTATGTATATGTATGTCTGTTCCAAAACGCATATTTCGCTGCCTTTCATCTGGCACACGTGTTCATCCGCAGCGCCTCCCGAACGCGCTAATTGTCAAGGGGCTCTGGGCACTGCACAACGGGGTAGCCACTGACCGCCAGTGACCTGGCACTGGCCAGTGGTGCAACCGTCTGTGAACAGCGTCAAGCCGTGCTATGTGTACCGCCACGTGGTGGGCCCTGGGTTGAGTGCGTCCACATCCGTGGCGCCTCAGGCCAAAATTCATAGTGCGCCCTGCTCACGGTGTCCGCTCTTTCGTGGCACTGCAGGTTTTCCCAACTCTAGTGTTAGTTGTTTGTTTAGCCTTCGTCTATCTAATAAAATTCGCCTAAAGAAACCATTTACTATAAAAGAAAAACCCACTAGTGGGCAAACCGAGTGCGCTTAACGCGCTGCTTAGCAGGGCGCTAAATTGATTGAAACGTCGCCCCCGCCAGAGGATCAGGTAACTACCATCTTAAGCTTCATTCACAAATGGAGAATGGGAATCACCAGGTTACTGGGTACTTACTTGATGATGCCATCCCATGTATTTAATCATATTAAAGAGGCAATTACAAGCGCTCACCACCTGGTGGTTCCCAATCTCCATCGTTGCCCATTCATCAACTGGATAAATCTATAAATTACAGGCCACGCCGATTTGCCGTCAGAGAGTGAGCTTAATGCGTCGCTCTGATGGCAGTGTACTCAGTGGCATAGCAAAAAATTGGTCACTCTTCTTTATTTGGGCCTTCTGTTCTACACAATCGACTCTTGGCCTTAACAAAGACAGAGACATTCAATCACTCCGACTAACCGATGTGTCTTGATGAAGATTGATCAACGCACCATCCCACCACTTCAAACAGAACTAATCCGAGAATCCCTGTGTTCCTATTCCGCCCGCAGGAGAAGTACGTGAAGGCCCGCCTTAAGGTCAACGGCAAGGTGAACAACCTGGGCAACAACGTCACCTTCGAGCGCTCCAAGCTGAAGCTGCATGTCAGCTCCGACGTGCACTTCTCCAAGGCCTACCTCAAGTACTTGACCAAGAAGTACCTGAAGAAGAACAGCCTGCGCGATTGGATCCGTGTGGTGGCCAACGAGAAGGACTCGTACGAGCTGCGCTACTTCAGGATCAGCTCCAACGACGACGAGGACGACGATGCCGAGTAAAGATGATCCAATACCAATTCCACACAGCAAAAACACAAGGTTTACATTTCGTTTTTAATGTATGTACTCTATATCTCACGTCCTCAAAAGGGGGCGTGTTTTTATAAGCTAGCAGAAAAAGGTGTAAACTCATGGAAAAAATCCCTTTGGGTTCGCCGCAATAAATTATTTGTGTGAGAACCGTAAGATCGATGTGGTTTTTAATTAGTTGTATGTAAATGTGTTGCAATTTCTTAAATTGTTTAATATTTAGTTGTGGATCTCTAGATCGAATGAGGCAGATTAATTATCGTTGAAAAAGCTTTGATTTATAGAGATATTCGCTAGTCGCTATTGTGCTTTTTTTGCTCGCTAAAAGAGCTTAATAATGATATTATATGTCTATCTCTCTTAAACTCGTGCTGGTTTGCTTTCGTTTAGTTGTTGCCTAAGGTGGTGAAAGTATTTTAATGCCCTCCAAGAGGGTAATATATGTACATGGTGGCATAAGCATGCTATCTATTAGTTTATCTGATACCTCACTTTTCAAGGGGTTAAATAATACGTCTTTTTTTTTTGACTAAGGGTTGTTTTTGACTATTTTTTTCGACTATTTCGAATTGTGAACAAATAATTTAAATGCTAAATATTATATATCATTGACTAGAAAAGAAGTATAACCAGCATTGTATAATATATAAAACTGGACTTCATGAGCAGATGGTCTAGTTTTATTGAAGATTGACTGCATAAATGCAGGTATTATAATATTGCTTTGAATTATTCAAGTGAAACAGTATTGGATAGCTCAGCTTTTGTTTCATCAGCTAGACGAACTTTAGGAATCTTCCGGAAGATCGCACTGATATCAGAGTAAACGCTACTGTACGCTGTTGTTTTCTGTTGTGGTTTATATCATGTCTCTTTAAATATTTGCTGCCGTACCATCCGTAGTCCGCTTGCTGACAGCACCATGTCACCCTTTTGTTTACCCACTCGGACTCAGCGGGCTAAACAAAGTACGCCCATTTTGTCGTTACGAAAACGGGCGGACCAAAATAGTCCGGACAATCGCTGTGGCTCATCATTGGGACAAGCAAGCCAAGCACCCGACCCGACCATTAACTACTCAAATCCGTATTCAGTTTGGCCGCTTTTGCATGAGTAATGGCTTGTCCACGGAGCCAGATGAAATGAAACCACTACGTGTCGAGTGCTATGGGTGTAGGCGAAAGCTTTTATTTTATTCAACAATTGAGGAGTGCAACTAATACGCGTTTGCTTACAACAAAACAAACAAAAATACAAAAATAAAACAAGCAACAATTACGATTACGATTACGCTAACAATTCTAGAAAAATATACACTTTTAGTGAGCGAACGAACTTACATTCATTTTGTCTTTCTTCAAGGGCTTTTGAGTAAGATGGTTATATATAGGGTTATATATTATATACTGAGATATTCGAATGTTTTTGCTTTGTTTTCGAGCACACTGGGCTGGTTAGGGGGTGTCCCATTCCCATTCCCATGCCCATGCCCATCGCAATCATCACAATTGAAGGCTGAGTTGGATAAAAGGGGGACTTTTGGAGGGGAATTCTAAACTGGGAACCCGCGACTTGTTTATCCACGAATACTGTAATCGGAGATGGTACGCCATAAATTAACAATTTTCGTCCAATTAGCGCCTGGAATTATCGATCTTGGTCAGCAGCGCAAACAGAGACCGTGCGCGCCAAGGCCACAAAAGCTGGTTAGGAAGGTACAATAGGTACAGTAGGTACAGGTAGTGGTAGGGTTGGATTGGGTTTGGTTCGGTTTGCTTAATTGAGGGGGCAAGTGCACACACAGTGCAGCTTGCAATTGGAACGTTCCAGAAGCGTGCCCCTTTAGAAGCCGGCAATGCGCTTGGCCAGGGCTCCGGACATGAGCATGATGAGCAGGAGGGTCTGGCCGGTCAATCCTGGCAAGGAACGAGCTCCTGCACCACTGGTGTTGGCCTTGACGGACGCCTGGACTGGAGCGGCAACATCCGGGGCCAGCTGCACCTGCTGCGATCCCGGCTGAACGGGGGCCATGGGCGCCAGGGGGGCGGGTCCCTCGCCAGCCGGAGCAGCTGGTGGCGGCGGTGCCGGATAGCAGGCGATCTTCTCCACCTCCACCATCTTGCTGCTGTCAGCGGGATCCGTTTCGTTCACCTTGGTGGGCACACAAATGATGCCGCCGGCTGCTGGTGGAGCACCAGCATCCGGTGCGGTCATGTTGGAGGCCTCTGGGTTGAGGGGGGCCATGGGTGCAGTTGCAGCTGGTTGCTGGGCATCTTGGGTCACGTTGGAAGGTGGCATTGGTGCCGGAGGCACTGCTCCCGGAGCAGCAGCCACGCCGGCCGCATTGATCACAGTGGTGCCATCGCTGGCATTCACCGGCACGCCGTTGTTGATAATGATGATGCGATCCTGGCCACCAGCTGGAGCTGCTGCCGCCACCGGCTGCGACGAGGAGCTGCCCCCAGAGGGCGTGAGGGCATGGCCCAGCAGAGCACCGCCCAATCCACCAGCGAGCAGACCAGTGCCTGTGAAGGAATTAAACTTTTAAGCGGAGAAACAGGTGTGTGGCCTAAAATAGCACCAAACTTGGGCAGTCGTTGTGTTAATATTTAAGGGTAACATGAGTAAGCAACTTGGGATTGGAAGCAAGTAATGCTTACTTAGGTGGCACGAGAAATAAGTACTCTTTTAATCATTTTCCAGATAAAAGAGTATCCCATTTTGATTTGCTTATGCGATTTCAAGTACTCACCGAAGCCCAGGCCAGAGGAGGATTGCTGGGGCGGCGCCGAGTAGTAGGTGGCTCCGGGTGGCAGGGCAGATCCGGCCTGGTAGTAGGTGGCACCCGGAGGCGGAGCAGCAGCAGGGTGATAGCCACCGCCCATGGGCACATGCGCGGCGGATGGATAGTAGGTGGCTCCAGCAGGGATGTTCGAGGGATAGCCGCCGACACCTCCGTGTCCTCCGGCCGGGTAGTAGGTGGCTCCAGCTGGGACTCCAGAGTACTGCGGCTGATGGACATTCGATCCGGTGGCCGCACCATAGCTGGGCGGAGCTGCTCCATAGTTGGGGGCATGGTAGGCTGGCGGCGGTTCATGCATATTGGGTCGAGCCCCGCCGGCGGGATTGGAGGCGGAGTAGGCGGGCGGCGGACCCTGCGGGACATTCCAGCCCGGCTGCGGGGCAGATCCCGGAGCGCCTGGGGAGCCGGCGGCAGCGGTCATCGGACGATTGGGCTGCGAGTTGTAGTTGGGGTAGCTCAGTTTGGCCACATCCGCATGCGAATTGCCGGCGGCATGGCCATTGGTGTTGTAGCTGGGCTGCGTCACATGGCCATAGTTCGAGGAGGAGCTGGATGACGAGGAGGTCTTGCGCTGGTTGTTGCCTTGGTTACGCCTTGCATCCACAACATCGCCGCTGTGCGTCAGCAGCAGTGCCAACACGGCCCAGGCCACGAAGGCGAATTGGCCACCACTGGAGGCCATCATGTGATCCGGATTCGGATTTGGATTCGGATTGGCACTTCTCTCTGCGTCGAGACTCTATAAAAAGTATTAAAAAAAAAAAACAGTAAAAAAAACGGCAAACGTCAAGCGTAAATCGGCGAACTGATGAGAATGCTAATTACAAAAACCCGTTTTAGGAAGCGATGCTACCTACTGACTCTCGTTTTTGTTGCTGTGTTCTTGCGTGGACCGACCGTTCGTTGTCCGCGAAACACGATATGACGGGTTTTAATCGTTATAAAAATTAAATGATTTCACTTTTGCCAGTGTGACCAGGCGAGGTATCTTCAGTAATACAAACAACATAGCAAGGACAACAACCATCAGCGGTTTGGGTGGAAAACATGAATAATCGTGTAAAATACATGTATAATTCGCAGGTTCCTAATGTCAACGCTAGGTGTCGCTTAAAAAGCACTAAATATGTCGGCTGATTAAATTAAATGATTTCACTTTTGCCAGTGTGACCAGGCGGGGTATCTTCAGGAATACAAACAACATAGCAAGGGCAACAACCATCAGCTGTTTGGGTGGAAAACATGAATAATCGTGTAAAATACATGTATAATTCGCAGGTTCCTAATGTCAACGCTAGGTGTCGCTTAAAAAGCACTGAATATGTCGGCTGATTAAACTAAAAGATTTCACTTTTGCCAGTGTGACCAGGCGAGGTATCTTCAGGAATACAAACAACATAGTAAGGGCAACAACCATCAGCTGTTTGGGTAGAAAACATGAATAATCGTGTAAAATACATGTATAATTCGCAGGTTCCTAATGTCAACGCTAGGTGTCGCTTAAAAAGCACTGAATATGTCGGCTGATATGCGACTCACAGCCATCCAATTATTTTTAGGTAAATTTGTTATTTTTGTATTAGAAAATACATTTTTGAGTGGATTAAACAAATTGAGTAAGATAGCAGTCTTAGCAGTCCAAAAAACATTCAGCCTTTCGTCATATTAGCCGAGGTATCCTATAAAAACACTTAAACAAAAATTACTCCGAAAATGGTTTATGCAGAAATCCAAATCAAAAATCGATTTTTAACTAATGAATTTGTATTTATTTTATGATTTACCGCCTAAAAAAAAGGTTCAGGTTCAGGAAACTGTTCTAAATGTTTTGTTTTGATGCAAAAACCGATTTCTAAAAATCCCTCCATCATATTTTTTTGAAAATTTGAAAATATGAAAAAAATGTTTACTAAGAACGCCATTCGATTGGTTATTTAATGGCGAATTCACCGAGGTATGACATTCCATCTTTTGGCCATTTCTTCTCAGCGTTTTGATAGAAAAACTGATTTTTTTGGGTTTTAGAGACTTGTAAAAAAAACAAGATCCTAAACAGTCCTTTTGTTGTAACTTGGCCAAAATTGGACGTATAGCAGAAGTGTCGATAGAGAATGCTGAGGCCATATTATTCTTCCGTTTTGAGCACAATTGTTGGGGTGCCAAAAACATTTAACAAATGTAATTGTATTCCATAAAATTATTAGAATTCAATCATCATTGATCATTAGGGAAAGATTTACAAAACGTATTTTATTTTCACATTTATCAACGAATCACAATCGCAAGTCTAGCGTTAATATGCTACTCCATCTCGACTACCTATGAATATACAAGTACAAAAAAATAGAACAGGCGGGTGCACCTTAATATCTAGATGGGGGGGGGATATCGGGGATTTGGCCAACTAGGAGTAGTTGTGCAGCAGGTAGTCGTAGGAGTACTCGAAGACCAGCAGCAGGATGGCTCCGCCTGGGCCAAGGCGCATAATCTTGGGCACAAGTCCCTTGTACAGAGCCCGGAATCCCTCCTCGCGGTACACAATGCCCATGGAGCTGAGCGTGCCGCGGTATTTGATCTGCCCGGCTACAGGCTGCGGGCCCTGGATGCGCGACTTGGCCACATCGAAGGGGATGTTGACGAAGCAGGCCAGCGTGCCGGCTAGGAAACCGATGGTCACCTTGCGCAGGAACTCCAAATGACTCTCCTTGTACTCGGGCACCACGTTCTTCACGCTGTGGTAGAACCCAAAGTACACCATGTTGAACACACCATTCCGTCCCATGGTGGCCGTGATGCCCTTGTTGAGGCCCCGGAAGCCCAGTCCGTCCTGTTTGATGATGCCCTTGGCCACCGCGAACGTGCTGAGCATCTTCTTCTGCCTGTCCGCCTGCTGGGCCACCTTGACCACCTCGAAGGGATTCACGGCAATGGCCTCCAGAGTGCCGGCCGTCAGTCCCGCCAGCGAAAAGGTCAGCGGCGTGGGCGTGGGCGAGCCAAACTGGAAGAGCGGCTTCGTCTGCTCGAACACCAGGAACTTGATCGCCCGCTTGGGCGTCTCCGCCAGGATCGGCGGCATAATGCCCTTCCAATAGGACGTAATGCCCTCATGGCGGTACATCTTGGCAAAGCAGTCGAACACGCCATTGTAGTGCAACTGCAAAATAGCGATAAGTTTATAAGTATATTGTTTTGGAAGCAAAAAGGGGAAAGTCACTGTGAATTCATTCAAGTTTAAATCAGTGATCCTTCGGGGATTACAAAGATAATACCAAGACCTAGAGATAAAATACCTAAAATAAATTAAAGAACAAGTCCCAAGACTCTAAAACAACCACAATTTAAACATTTTAATTAAAACCATCATATTGAAACATATCTGCGTACAAAAATCAAAATAGTGCAGCTGAAAAATAGCCATAAATTCATAAGTATATAATTTTGGAATGTGTAAATAAAAATGATACTTAAAATCGATGAAGAATTTTCTAGTTCAAAGCAGTGATCTAAAATATATAGAACAAGTCTTAGGCGAACCAGGCATTAAATATTTTTTAAAAAATAGTTCATAATTATATTGATGTATAGATGGTAAACAAATTTAAGACAAACCACAATTTAAATATTTCAATTTATATTTCAATATCTTTAAATCTGAATAAAAAATTTTGTTGCGTTGGAGAATATCTGTTTTTGTTCTATGCACTCTTTCTTCTCGTGACAAAACGCAAAACTGGAACTATATCAACGGGCAACTGCGTGCATTGTTCCACATATATTTATCTGTTGAATTTGTGCTAATTTGTGCTTTTTGTCTGTCAGCCAGGCTCTTGCTTTTTTTGACTGCTTTCATTTGCAGTCGTAAATTTGTTTAATCATCACGCCTCGTCGCCTGAGAGATGCAGAATTGTGTGGCAAAATTCAGACATTTTTATGCTTGGGTCTCTACACACAAAATATTGTTTCTCATAAACCTATATCTTCTTAGAATTAATTTATAAATTATTTTTCTTTTTGGACAACACAATAACCTTAGTTTTTTGTCCCCTATTATTTTTTGTGAAATCTTTCTTAAACCATAATTAAAGAATAATTATGCCAGAACATCTTTTCTGATTGTATGTAGCTCCATTTTAGCCTTATCTAAAGGCCTCCTAAGCATAAAGATTTCAGAATATAGTACCCAGAAAACACCAAGATTAGATAGGCTGTGTGAGTGGACCTCTCATTGCACTTGTTCTAGTTTCTCCATTTGAAATTCGTAGAATTGGAGTTTAAACTACGTTCTGCAACTATCAGTTTCCAGGTGCTTTGCCAAAAAGCTAACCCAAAAATTAAATGTGTCGGAAGGAAATCGAAAGTACCGACTGCTATCAGCGCATAATTCCGATTTCAATTTGGAATGGGGAATGGGAATGTTTGGCCCGTCTGGCATGGGTCCATTTTACATATATATGTTTTTATATACTTGGTTGATAAGCTGGTTCAGGGGGAGGGAAACGCGACACTTAACTTCGACTGCTGATAAATATGGATTGTCTGCCCCTTCGCCAGAGAAATGTAAACACAGAGAGCCAGAGCCAGTTCAACATAGAGAAAAAAGTGGAGAGAGTGTGTCCGTGACCTTGCTTTGCCCTTATCCAAAAACGTAAAGCCTCAGCCCCAAAGCAAAACCAAAACCAAAACAACTCACAGCTGATGAGAGAAGATATATGTATATATATATAATATATCTTCGGAGTGACCTCTTTAGATCTTGATTGGACAGGAGAATCCTCGAAATACAAAATTCTAGTAATCAGAAACTAGTAAGCTCTTTTACTACCTGTTCTAAATGTAAATGACTTATGAATTTAAAATGATTCATTTGTGTCTATAGTATTCGTAATTAAACTTCTAAATTTAATCATTTTTATATTAAAATGGTTTATATATTAAGTAAAATGTTCTGTTTTTGGGGTATATAACTTAGTTTTTATGTTGTCTATAGAATTTGTAAGATATCTTTTAAAAATATAAATGACATATATATGTTATCTTTATATTGGCTATTGTATCTCCGCTCCAGAAGGCATTAATGTACTCACCTCACCCAGAGCCGTGGAACTGGCCACCGGCGTGGCCTGGATCTGGATGCGGGTCTTGACCACGTCGAGGGGCTGCATGATGCAGACCTCCAGGAAACCGGCTGAACCGCCGGCCAAAACCTGGAAGGCGGCGCGCTTAGCATGCGAAATTTCCTGCGGTTGGGCGGCCATCCTTGCGACTTCTCTGTCCGGTTGACTGGGCGAAATTAGCAGGGCTCCAGCAGGAAGCTGGGACTATCGAGTCACTTCACGGAGGGAAGTTTCGACAATCAGCAGCAGCACCACAACGAACAATTGGAGGTAAATAAATTTGGCAGAGCCAGAGAACTACTGGTGAACGAACCGCCACCGCACGCCTCGAGAACGCAATTCGCACTGAGCTCGAGGTTGGGCCAGCTGCCTGTGCCGAAGACAAAAAACCACACCGGAAAAAAATACAACTCAATATGACTATGTCTACTATCCTCACATGATAAAATTAGTGTATAACACACTTCACACACTTAAGAAACATTAATCAGTACACGTTTGTTTCTCTCTATGGACAGTTTTGTTTTTTTCTTGTGCTTAGAAAAAGTGTTGGTTAAGCCTGATTATTTTCGTATACTTTTTAATTTGGCATTACATTATGACTAATAATATAATATAAAAATTATTTTAATATCATATTTTGAAAATTAAAATTCGAAGTTTGTGCTTTACATTATACATTAATTGAGCATTATATTTTCTGTTTTTTTCTTGCTTTTTAATTATATTGATTTAGCCTGCTTATATTTGAGTCATTTTTCTATAGCATCAAATTATTTAAAAAAAATTGATTATATTTAATATAAACATTCATATTAGTTTTCTTGATAAAACATTGAGCGGTTTATCGAGTACTTTTTTCTTTCCGTGCAGAGAGGGAGGCGAACCTCGATGATTCTTTGGGCGGGACAGGGCGGGGCCGGGCAGCACTGGAACGGGGTCGGGGCTAAACTTTCGCCGGATTCGGATTCGTATTCGGATTGAGAATCGGAATCGGTATCGGAATCAAAATACGAGACCCAGAACACAGAGAAGAGAGCCACATGTGCTGGAACGACTTGCTAATTGAATTTGCTCACTCAGATCGTGGGATCATTGGAGAGCTTTTTCTACTACGGGTCTTCGTCATCACCAGATCGGCGATCCCAGCCAGCAGAAAGCTCAAGATATCGGACAAAAGAAAGCTACTACATTTTGCAGTCCATGGAAAAATTCTACAAGGCACATAAAAGGTTAAACGAGGGAAACAACAACCCTTAGGATACACTGTTCATATATTTGTATTCTTGCAACAGGTAGCTGGTAGGTATAGAAAATTCTGGTCGAAGACAACATTTTCTTTAAAAGAGAAAAAAATAGAACCCTCAAGATGGAAGCAGAATTATCTGTGAGATAACACAGCCATTTCACATGGCAATTGAAATCATTCAGGGCTGTAGATAAAATATAGAGGGCTTATAGGCAGATGGACAAATTGTTTAGATAAGATAACTGAATGCGAGAAAAAACATATATTATATATATTTGATAGCTGTATTTAAGTAACTAATCGATCGAAGTAGAACATATTAAACAATCATAGATATCAATACTTTGCAAGAGTAAAGTGTTGTTCAACACATTGTTAGTCAGTTAATCGAATATGTTAAGTATGGAATATTTTAATTATGTAAATTTTAATTTTTACAGGGAAATGCTGTTTGTTTAAAAACTTGATATAACAAGAATGTACTGACGAATGCACTTAAGGTAATAAAACGAATTATAATTGTTTTACTTGTATTTACTTTAATCAAAAAGGTTGAGTAAAAGAAAATAAAATGAAATGCTTGGGTTTTTATAGGAAAAAGCAGTTCGTTTATGAACTTGGCCTTTTAAATTATTAAACAACTTTGTATGATAAGATTGAAATGAAGAATGCAGCTCAAGTATAAGAACAAATACTAGTTTAATGAATTTATGAAATGTTTTTGATTAAGAGGTTCCTTTTCTAAGTCAACCCTAGGCATTCTCGAGGAAACACAAATATGTATGAGCAAATATACTGGCTAGCCCATATAGCTTTACACCTGAAACGAGAATTCACCTTTAGATTGCCCATCTGTGCATCGCATTAATGATGTTCCTCGCCCATGTAAACACACTTCGAAGGAGCCACAGCCACAGTCACACAATGGACAAACAAATCGTTTGACATTTTGTGCCTCTTGATTGGTTTATTGTTCAAAGCTCACGGCACACCGGACATCAATCAGAGACACAGAACAAGATACCACCTCCAGTCCAGATTGAGGACAACTTTCATTTACATAAAATGCATTCTATACCGAAATTGATAGAACAAATTGTCGGTGTCAAAAATGAATCTCCCCACAGTTCGAATCTCCAGAATCTCGGTGATTTAGATGCCTTCCTTTGTCCGCCTGCGTGTGTTTTATGATTGTCCAAATATTTCTGGCTGTTAATTATGGGCACGAGTTGGCGTGACGTACAGCTGGGTCAGCTGGAAAATCTGGGATGGATGGTTGGTTGGACGGATGGATGGTTGGATGGACGGATGGTTGGATGGATGAATGCACCGTGGATGTGTGGAATTTATGACATTCGACGGCGGACAGAGGGGGAATTTAAAACGCATTAGAGGCCATTAAAAGCGAATTAATCCAGGCCATCCTTACCTAATAATGCTGTCAAGTCACGCAATCGGAATTGAAATTGGAATTGAAATTGGAATAAGAAACGTAGGGGAGGATGATCACATCGGATCATCCATGGATCGATGGGAAAATATAAACGATTTTCGATTCATTTCGCCTGGGCAATTTCTCGTCTTTCCACCCGGCTGAAGATCACACAAAGATACCGATTCCGATCCCACATGGAGTCCTCCCTCATCCCCATCACTATCCCACTGGAAAACGCGTTTTCTACGTCCGTAATTAGTACAAGTTTTACGAGTAAACGCAACACGTAGAATGCCACATGCAAGCGCCGATTGATCGATCAAAGCCGCGATCCATAGGGCTAATCAATCATTTTTCCATTTTCCATTTCCCATTTCCCCATTTTCATTCTGGGCCCGCTGCTGCAAAGTGAGAACTCACGACCGCCTGCAGCTGTCCGTCCGTCAGAGGCTATTAACCCCGTTTTTTTTTATTCAGTCAGAATGTTCCACTTGTTGCACACTTTTGGCCCTTGAGAAACAAGAACAAGTTGGCCCAGAACAGGCGGTGGTCAAAACAGAAAGTAAGGCTATGCACAGAAAGAAAATTGATTGTTTAATTTTCCAAATCATTCGATGGGTCGAAGATGTTAGAACTACATTTTCCAAAATATCACTTTATTATTAAATTGTGAGATACAAAATATTGGAATTTGCAGTCATTTTGCTTCCAATTTGTCTGATTTATATACTTCTTGTGTAAAATAATAAAATGATTCAAATAATATTATACATTTTGTGTTCAAAAAGTAAGTAAAAGATTGAATAAATTAAATGCTAATAATAAATTACAATATAGAACTGTTTGTTTTTTACGTGTAAAGTAACGGCGGGAAGGTCTTCTCTGTCTGCCCATCAAAGAATCCCCGAAAATTCACTTCCACTGCGATGCTCCAAGAACCGAGAACCGAGAACCGGAGGCTGGAGGAGCAGGCCACCACAACAAAGGGAATCGGTTAAGAGTGTTTTGATTAATGCCAGTTTTGACAGCTGATGGACCATGGAGATGGATATGAAAATGGAAAATAGCTGGCTCCATTGATGCTGAAGCGAAGCTGGCAGCTGTCCAACTCCTGACAACAAAACACCAGACACTCGAAGAGCTCTGACAGAAGATTTAACTAGGCAATGGGACACTCTGGAGCAGCATTTAGCCGCGATATGCAGATAGTTTAAGTTATTATTAAATCAGGTCGAAAGCCTATGAAAATGTAGTATTATTGCATCTATTTCCTTTTCTGAATATGAGAATAGTTAGTTAGTTATCAATTAATTAAGTTTTAAGATGAGTTACACTTCTAATCAAGTTTTAATTGGTTGAGTTATAATGGTACATTTTAGATGTAGGCAATCCAAAAGCCTCTGAAAATGTAGCAAAGTTTAAGTTTGGGCTAAATTATAATCTATATTTCTTAGGATTACGTTGAGAACATTGTAATTAAAGTATACAGGGTCTAGATCTAAATACTTTCGTTACAATGTTGTGTAAATTAAGAAATAAACACCTAATGGTTTATCGAATTGAGGAACATATCCTGATTAAGTTTTAATTATTCAAGTTTTAATGGTAAATCTTAGCTGTAGGCCACATTTAATCGGTGCGCAAGGCAGCGCCCAATCCAAGTTATTTATTCTTTCTGGTTTTGGACCTACATTACACCGAGTGGTGACCCACTGAACCTTTGGGGCGACGACGACCCACTCAGAACGGGTTGTGCGATTTTCGCCCAAAACGAAAGTTTGTTACGCCATCAGCCAAAAATGCGAAGTGTCCAACATTGGGCATATAAAATGATGGATTTGGAGTGGCTAGTTGACCATTTCACAGACATTCGTCGCACCAAATGGAGGTGCCTTGGATTGTTTTGCTAGTTTCGGTAAGGGTATCCTTGGGCCATCGCCCACTGTGGATACTGGAAGATGGGTTGACCAAAAGGCAAAGACTGGATCGCCCAGAGGCGGATTATGAGACGACAACCAGGATGTCACCCCTGATGATCCGGCGGCAGGGAAGGGGAGGGCGAGGGCCTGAGCCCGGACCCATTACCTTTCTGGTTCGACATGAAGATCGGGATGTACCGGCTCCGCTACCTCCTCCTCCTGCGCCTCCTCTTCCCCGGAGACCCATCTCCTCGTTGCCCCAGCGACGCTTCATGAGGCCCCATCATCGGCTGCAGTTGCCCCATCAGTATGTGCAACCAGCGATACCGAAAAGCAGGAGTCACCGGCGAGCAGGAAGTCGTCATCTGCCCGTTTTCGATAATGGTCCCGGAGAGAATTCGATGCAATTGGGCCGGGATAACTACCCCATATTCGTGTACAACGGCACCAGGGGGGAGCTTATACTAAACACCATGCTGAGCCGGCGCCGATATCCCATGCAGGAACCAGTTCCCGGTCAAGTCCTTTATCCACCATCGACGCCCATGTTCCGGCCCAAGCCGATTGTCCAGCGATTCCGTGTGCCAGGGCAACGGGAGATGATGAACCTAACGCTAATACCCTTTTATGCCCATGAGGCGGTCAACGACCCGGGTTTGACTAGCACCAGCAGCAGCAGCAGCACTCAGCCCACGGTTAGCTCTACCACGCCAACGCCACCTCCTCCGTCGTATGAGACACAGCTGCCCAGGATCGAGGAAATGGTGAGCCGCCTGGGCAAGCGGAAACGGAAGAAGGCCAAGCAGTACGAGGTATTCCATTCGCCCCAAGAAGTGATGCAATGGCAGACTGTGCTGCGTCGATCCACTGGTCACAGCCACAACAATCACCGGCATTTCGCTGGTGAAAGTGGCGAAACTGGGGAACTGGTGGAGCATCAGGAGCTCGTCGAGGAGGAGGAGGAGGAGGAGGAGATGGATGAACCAGACTGGCTGGCACAACAGGAAGCCGAAACGGAAGTGGAACTACCACTCGAGCAAACGGAGACCTCCACCACCAGCAGCAGGAGCAGCAGCAGCAGCAGCACTGAACCCTTCCAGATCGTCTACATCGATGAGAGTCTGGAGCGACCGATGGTAGAGGAGCATCGAACCACCAGCAGCAGTCCACCACCACCACCACCAGTGCCACCACTTGTGCGACAGAGCTCTCGTTATGCACTGAAAAGGGAATACTATGCCTTTCCAGTTTATACGCTGGGTAAACTGCTCCAAAATCCATCCAAGAATCTGCTCGAGAAGAGCGATCGCTCAGCGAGAAGCTCATCGGAACGGGAGTCCAGCACCTGGTTTATCCTGAATTCACGGTGAGTAGGGGATCTCTATCTTTCACTATGTACACTGGTAAAAAAACATAGATTTAAATATTTGATTTGATTGGGAATTTCTTTCATGGCGGTTTTGTTTAACAGTATACGAATCCTTGTATTTCAGCTACAAGGGACCCCACCACCGCTCACTGGGATCATCGGATAACCCGATCAAGTACTATACCTCCAAGTACATGGAAAATAGCTTCAGACCCCGCAGATAGAGCCCCTTATTAGTCATACATTTAAAAGTGAGAAATAACCGAAGATTAAAGATAATGCACAAGTTGGGGTTTCATTTGGGGTATTGGATGGATGGATGGATGGATGTGGCTGAAAAAAAAAGAATCTAGAACTCGAAATTAACCAGTGAAAGATTGTGATTATGACAGTGATCGCGAGATGACCATTAACGCCTCTCCATACATATAGCCATTTAGATGGAACCATGAGACAGTTTAGATTGTAATGGGTCGCCGGGTTGAACAGTTTTAAAAGCCATAAAGGTCAGTCATAAATTCCTGGTCAACAAAAAAGTCGGGCTCTTGTTCTCTGAAAAGGCGATCGTAAATTGGAAAGTGAAGAATGGGAACCACACCACACACTCGATTGAGATACCGGTACTGATACTGATGACCCAAAGTTGCATAACGCATCGTGCAAATCGAAGGCGTCGACTGACCCAAATTCCAGAACTCAAAACATAGAAAATCAGAAAGAAAAACAAAATTTCAATGTGTTAAAAAGCAGTAAGGGGGAGGGTGCCCGTCCACAGAAAAGTCATCAACACAAATTTTTATGGCCAATCGAATGGACGCGGCCCTTTTTAAGGGCCGTGTAGTACCCCGCCTCATTTTGCATCAGTGGGTCCATCATTCATTCAATCACTTTGTCAATGATCCGCCTTTCCATGTTGTTGCTGTTCTCCCCTGTTCATTATTATTATTGATTTCCCAGCTTAGTTTTCGCTCTGCAGACTGCAATTAATTTTCTCGTTGTTCTACAAGGGGTCTTCACTCCAAACTCCAAACTCCAAATTCCCCCCTTCCTTGGATTTTCATTTTCCCCTCTTCTACTGAAGGAAAAACCCGCTTGGTGGCGGCTTTTCTGTTCTGCCCAGCAGCGCCATGGGCCACACAATCGATGCCAAGCGATCCCAAGAGATCCCCATTCCCAGTTTTCGGCTTTCGGCTATAAAAGCTCGGGCCGTGTCTCTTATTGGGCTTAGAACAAAGGCAACCGCGAACGCGAGTGGATCGCTTCCCCTTTTTTTTCAAATTTTTTAGCTGTTCCCCAAGGATAAAGGGACATTCTCGCAGTGAAGTGTGCTGTACAAATAAAATGTGGCTATATTTTGTGGTATGTGAAAAAGAAGGGACAAAGGATTGAATTTAAAATATCATTGGATATTACAAAAATTCAGGACATTTTATTTTTTTAATTAAAACAAGTGATTATAATCGTAAACATTCACAAAAGTGCGACTTAATAAAAAAAATTAATAACTGAAATTAGCTTTTATATTAAAATGTCTTTTGAACGTAAATAGTATTAAAAGGCTATTAAAAATACTTAAAGTTAGCTAATATATTAAAATTTCTTTTGAATGCGAAAATGTGTTTAGAAGACCAATTAAAATTAAACCCTAATATGAAAAAAATATTTTTAAATAAATATCACTATTAATTGAATTAAGAATGATTTAAAAATATTACATGCCAAGGAATTATTAAATTAAATCGTGGTTTTATTAAATATGGAAACTAAGGACATACCCAAATTTATATTTATCCCTCTTTAAACTGATTTGCCTTTTAATGTTTCCTTTTCCCTTCTCTTAGATCACTGTAATCCTGGCTGGTTCCCAACTGTCAAACGCCTTTTGGTGGCCAAAGACAACCACGTGAGTAGATATAAAAAATGTATCGTAAGACTCGTTTATAACTCACCTGTGTCCTGTAGGGAAACCAGGGAGCCAAGTGTTCCGGTGCTGCAGCACATTCCGCTCACCTATTTCCGCACGTACACGTATCAGCCGCTGGGTCCCGGATTCTTTGGCTTCGGAGCTGCCCAGACACCACTGCTTCCCGGTGGCCAGTACGATCCGTATGCGGTGACCAGCTATGCGGCTGCCCGGCGACATGACTCCTTTTCCCGGCCGGAAGTTACTCCTCCGGCGGGATTGCCCAGTAGCAGTAGCAGTAGCAGTAGCACCACTAGCACCACCACCACTCCAGCTCCAACAACTAAGCCGACGACAACGACGACGACTTCTACGACGACGACGACCACCACTCCGGCACCGACGACAACGAGCAGCACTACTACTACGACGACCACACCTCCACCGCCGCCTAGATCGACCAGTAGCAGTTACTCCGAGGGATCATCCACATCCAGTTTGATGCGATTTGGCGAATATCCCACGTACAATCGCCGGTTGAGCAACCTCTACAACGGCCGGCCCCAATATCCGTATCCCGACTACTTTAACTACCAGTCGTCGCATCAGAATCTGTTGTCGGATCAAGGCGCCAGCGGCAGTCGCATACAATTTGTGCCCTGCATGTGTCCCGTGAGTGTGCCCAGTTTGGTCTCAACCTCGCCGGTGGCCACAGTGTCTCCCCATCTGGCCACCACATCCACCAGTGTCTACCAGTCTCAGCCGGTGGCGCGTCAAATCGAGGGCAAGGAAGTGGAAGCGGATGCGGATGCTGATGGGGAGACAGAAAGCGAGGGAGAGGAGGAGGAGGAGGACGACGGGGAGGAGGAGCAGGGACAGGAGGAGGGTGCCACCAAGGACCAGCCGGAAACGCAGGAGACGACCTCATATAGTCCCGCCTAATTCAGTTCAGCCCGTATCGGTAGTTTTAAGCACCACACCTCGACTCCTCGACTGATTTGTCAATATCTCGGGGGTGTCCCAGAAATCTCTTTCAAACAATTTTCAAACGTGTGTCACAGGAACTTTCAATTTTGACTAAACAACCGCGCAGAAAAAAAAATGCCTAAAAGTGGGCTATGAATTTGCAACCCAAAGTAAATTTTTAGTGACCCAAAAACCTCAACTTTTGCTTAAACCAACCACGCAAAGCTAAGCTATAAACTAAAAAATTACCAACATTCAAAACTTTACAAATTCTCGGACACTGATTGACTTTTCGTGTGGGAAAATCGTGCGAAATTTCTGGGATATCCCTGTACATACAAACAAATGCCTGCCGAAAGATCATCATTTTTTTTTCTCTAGTATTTATAGATGTTAAAATAAAGAGCGACAGCCTGGAATAATAAGAAAATTAGTTTAATTTAATTGATTACCATATTTATACATTTTAAAGACATTGGTTTTCACATTGATTTCATGTTCTTTTATTGATTCATATTCGTATGCTCCATCAATTACATTTACACATTTAAATTGTATTTATCAATATTCTAATACTTTGCGCTTGCTGCACGCATTTCAACTAGCCCCGAGCCAAGATCCTTGAGCTCCGCCTTATCCTTATCGTTATCCTTCTTATCGGTCCCTAAAAGCCGCTCTCCTCCACATCAAACGACTTGACCATCAATTAGTGGAGGACGCCGATCCGTCAATCATCAATTCAACAATTACAATTACATTTACTTAACTAGATGAACTTGTGCTTCGAGTCTTTGAAGTTGAAATTAGCTTGCGATTCGCGAAAAACTCCGCCGCTTTTCCACTCCGATTTTCATTTCGGAGAGGGTGGAGAGGGGAGGGGGGCGCCAAAGTGGTCTAAACGTAGCTAATGCATGGGTAGTACGATACAAAAAAGGAGTTAAGTATACAACTAATCGGGGGAAAATATATAATCAGTCGTTTAAGTTTTTAGATATACATGTATACATACATCGATATATAAATATAGTCATAAATATAAACTGCATTCAAATACAATTACGAGTACAATTACACCTAAGCTTGGGGGTCTGAACAATCGAAGAGTTACGAGCTAGAGTACCTGGGCGTAGTCCCCCCGGAGGGACTGGGCCCCAACTAACAAAAAAAAAATGCATCTTACCTACTACTAAGATCGTAGATCGTACGGATCGTACTTAGTGCTAAGTCTGCTGCGCATGCGCTCGTATAGAATCTTTTCCTCATTTGTTTGTGTGTTTTTTTTTGCAGGTCTGCTTAATGTTTGCATGTTTGCTCGTTTGTTTGTTTGCTTGTTTTGCTTTGTGTGCTACAGTTGCTTTCGTTTGTGGGCTTATGTGGTAAAGAAATTGCATTAATATGGCCTATCAATATATCTGATGAATATACGTATCCTAAGCCTTCTTCTTCAGATATTCTGCTCATTCCAAATAGCTATAGCCTTCCTCTGTTTGCCTGTCCACAAAAAAAAAAAATTACATTTATCCTTGCTTATAAGATATGGTTATTTGTTTTTCTTTTGCATTTCGTCTCATGTCGTTTTTTGTTTTTGTTTTGTTTTGTGTTTCTCTTGAACTTTTTCTCTTCGTTTTATCTACTTAGACCACCACCGATTGCATCGGTGTTTCGTCCTCGCCTTCAAACTTCTAGATTAACTAGTTTTTATCGCACACACAATTAAAAAAAAATAATAAACATAAAACATAACCCTTTGTCGTTTTAAATATAATGAGATTGCGCCAGACTAAACGCGTATGTAGATCACTCGCACACTCACAGTCACTCAAAAAAGTTCAAGCTGCCTGCCACACACGCCCTGAACACACTTGGAAATCATTTGTAAAACTTTACCGGACGCCACGTATCGATTTATCACAGGATCCGGATCCAGATCCGTATTCGATTTGATAGCGCCCCTTTCGATTAAATGCCATTGCTTGGAGGCGTGGCAGACAGCACTGCACTCACAATGCACACTCGTAAATAAATACTAAAAAAAAAAGGAGCAGAGTCATGCTGGGAAACACAGTGGTAAAACACAGGCTAAAACTAATGCTCTTCTCACACTCTACTGAGTATTGGTGTTTTAGTTTTCTTGTCTCAATTTAAAATATCCAATTTATGCAAATGTCTTGTGAGCCTAGTGCTAAAAATGATACAGATTAAAGAGGCCCAAGAGACACTATCATATATATATATATATAAAAAAAAACAATTTCAATTAAAACAAGAACATTAAAACACAAACACCCACGATACAGTGTGAGTAGTACATAAATGCTCGCAAATCTCAGATCTCTCATAACTAGAAACTATAAC